TCCGGCCCTGATTTTGAGGTGTGATAGTATAAATTTTCATCGTCTATAAAAGTGTTGACCTTAGAGTCATGTTTCTAGAAGAAATATTCTTAAGGACGGCTGCTTTACTTATATTATGGCACCAGGCTATTTACATTCTTTTTCTGCGTTTTTTGCACCAAGGAAACAATTTGTGGGCGTCGTCAAATTTACATACCACCACTATACCGCGCCCTAATAATTTAAAATTTTTTGTTCTGCCAATCGCCAAGTTAGATTCAACTCAAGAATTGTTCGATCATTAATTCCATCATTCATTAAATATTTTCTAGGTTGATCAAGTGAGCCCCTGAGTTTATTGAAAAAAGTTGCAGTCCATTTATTTTCTTTGTATATAGGGTGTCCCAAAGTTGCTGGGACACAGAGCTATAACGTGTAATAGAGGTCAAAATAAGTTGATTGGACCAAGCTTATTCATATAATCAAAATGTACCGTTTGTCCGTTAAGAGTTCAAAGATTACATAAAAAACACATTTTTGTTCGCTGTTCAGGAATTAGTGGTACAATTTTAACGAAATCTGACAAAAGTGCATTTTAGAGAATTACTCATATTTCAGTGGTTACAGAAACCAAAAAGAAATTGTAGGAATATTGAAACAGCCCTCACCCTCTGACAATTTTTTCGGAACATTCTCAAGGGTGGTAATACGGTCCTAATTTTTTTTAACGGAAAGACAGATTAATTATCTTCATTTTGTTGCTTTTGTAAAAGCTTTCTACTCCCGATATTTTCAAAGAAAGAAATGTTTTATTTAATAATGCTAACATATATTATTCCAGGTACAAGTTTGATAACATTGTTATACAAAATTTAGTTGACAGTGGAAACAAAGGCAGAACGTTTTTGTTAATATATTATGTTCAATATGACAGCCACGTAAGAAATTGGAATTCAGGTTTTTTTTCAATGTCAACTCAGAACTCTTCTCAAAGAAAAACGGTAGATTTTGGTATATATATGAATTGGCTCCAATCAACTTATTTTTACCTCTATCACACGTGGTGACTGTGTGTCCCAGCAATTTTGGGACACCCTGTATATTGTTGCGAAATATAATAAACAAAATGTTATGAAATCAAAATTTTAGATTGTCATGGTATTTTCAGGCAAAAGTGTACAATCATTTTATCGAATCTTACTTAAACTAAGTAGTTACTTCAAGATCCAATCTCTGATTCTATATCATTGAAATGTAGGAACTAACCCAGACAGCACCAGATATTTCATGAATCTCCCTATTATATTCTTTTTGGAATATTGGAATATTATAGGAATAATCTGGAATACTGTGGAATATCTGTGTAAAATTATCTGAATATTCAAATGATAATTCCTCAGATACTCATAAAATTTGTCCAAAAGCATATTTCACGAATCTCTAGAATATATTCTAGGAATATCCCTTGATAGATCCTGGAATATTCCAAAACCACAGTTCAGATCCAACTAGAATATTATGTGAATAATATTTACTTTTGAATATTTCCGCTGTAATATTACTTGTATATTCAGATTGGAATATTCATTGGATGTTCTAGAAGCATGCAGGAATATTCGATGAATATTCGGAGTATATTTCTCCTTCTTAGCATCTTTGAAGAATATTCAAGGAATATCCGGTGCTATCTGTGCTGGAAAGAAGAACCAAATATCGACAAATAGCTGAAAAATTGTTGCTGATCTATTTTGATTTATCACTCTTCACTGTTTTAGTACATTATATTAGTGAATTTCCTCTGGAATCTTTCAATACGGACTAACATGATAAATTAGAGTATGGATTGTGAACAGTAGCTGTCTGGTCATTATTTGACTGGAGGCTAAAATATAATAGATCCAATAAATTATTATTACACTCCTATAATAGCGCTCAGCCAAGGATCCCAAGAAAACAATTAGTCTTCATTATTTGTAGGCACCTGCTATGAATATATTATTTTTGAAACCAATCAAATTGAGGGGTCGTGCGTATAATTTGTGGACTGAAATAAAATGTTGCTCGGACTGCTTATTTCCATCAAAAAAATAATTGTTTTTATTGCATTTCGTGGCTCATCAAACTATACACGATAGAAAGTTTTTGTTTATTTTCCCTAGACACCTTGGGCACTTTATTCGGGTGTTTTCCATAAAATCTCACGGACTATGGGTAAGTTTCTGGAAAATTGACTATTCAATGTACCAAAGTTTTCAATTTTTCTACCTAGCCCCCCAGAGTAGCACTTTACAAGGTGTTTTTGAAATAAGTGCACATATTCAGCACATCAATATGATACAGTCTAAGGAACATTCCCATGATACCAGATTTTTTTTCTAATTCTACTAATCAACGAGAAATTTCATCCCAAAAATTGAACAAAACACGAGAAAAAATCAAGTACACCACCTTAAAACAATTCAAATGATTGAACTTGGCGTGATTGTATGTACATACAGAGGTGTCGTCAGATTTGCTACAGTGTAGAATTTTGAGTGAAAAAAGCACATGCACGTCGAGCTTTCTCAGTGTTTGAAATATTTGCACTTATTTCAATGCCATCTTGTATACTCGTGTTTTTTTTCATAAATTCTTGTAAGCTGGGTATTTTGGTAATCCACCTCAATTTCCACAAACATTGAATTTTATGAAAAAAAACACTGATAAAATGTTTTTGATTCTTCTGCCTCTTGCCTGTAGCCTCTGCCAGACAGCACCAGATATTCCATGAATCTCCCTATCATATTCCTTTTGGAATATTGGAATATTCTAGAAATAATCTGGAATATTCCGGAATATCTGTGGAATATTCTCTAAATATGCGAATGGGAATTCCTCAGATATTCATAGAATATATCCAAAAGAATATTCCATGTTGAATATTCCTGGAATATTTCAATAAACATATTCTAAAATAAAAAAAGTGACCCTATATAGTAGGGATCGAACTCGTGACCTCAAGACTATCAGATCAACGCCTTGACCACTAGGCCAGTAATCGAATTGAATGATGTTGTACATATCAATTTCTTGTGAGAGCGTTGTTCGAAATCGGATCATAAACACTTTTTGTTTCAAAATCCCCTTACATCTAATTTTGATGTTCGATACTCACAACTCTAAAATTATGATGGGTATTTATGTGTTGAGAAACATAGGAATATTCATGGAATATTTCATGAATATACACCACAGAATATTCAGTTGAGAATATTTCATGAATATACCGCACAGAATATTCAGTTGAGAATATTTCATGAATATACCCCACAGAACATTCAGTTGGGAATATTTCATGAATATACAAGAGAGAATATTCATTTGGGAATATTCCTGGAAAATTCATACTTGAATATTCCTTGAACATCACTTTGGAATATTCCTTCTAGATGTTCCAGAGGCATGTATATATTCTAGGAATAATCGATGAATATTCGGAATATACTCCTCCTTTTTAGCATATTCAGAGAATATTCTAAGAATATCCAGTGCTGTCTGGGCTGAGACTTTACGCGCCTATGTTTTCATGAATTCTTGACGACTTTCTTATTATCGAGTCTATGATATCAATTATCCACGAAAATCAATACACAACAGAAAGTTTGCCTAGTGGGATCCACTTTTTACTCGTATATTTCTCCAAAAATTTTCACGAGTATAAACTATGTACTTATATGTACTTATATTATGGATGAAACTTGAAACATCACAGCGACGTCTATGCGAGATAGAATGCGATACCGCAGGTCAGAATTGTTACATCGCTGCGATATCTCTGTGATGTAACCGTGTTTGCCGGTGTTTGCTGAGTAGTAAGGCAAAGTTGAAAAGTAATAGCTCTCGATCATCCTTGACGAAAAATCATCGATAGCTCAGTCATTTTTGGATTTACGATGACAGGTTATGGGACAGTTTTTGTTGAGAATAGAATTTTCTATCAATTGAAAATATTTTATACTGAGTGTCCCATTTGAGAAAACAGTACCTTTTGATATAAAAGTAAAAAGAAGTCGTCGATAGCTTAGTCATTTTTGAATTTACCATAAAAAAGTTTATGAATCAGCTCTTGTTCAGAATCGAATATCCTATAGATTGGGTGTCCCATTTAGAAAATTTGAACTTTTTGAACTCATCGTGAACGCAATGTTAATTTTTTTTCATATCAACATTGTAATCAGCGGAAAAATATACTACTAATGATTCCATTTAACCGACTTTATTGCTCCAATATTAACCAAGCTAGAAATAATAGTCATGATTTCATATCATTATATATTATATTATATATTATTAATATTGATCCGATTTAGAGAAGAATGTGAATTCTCAATTTAAGAGGATTTTTATTTTCATGTTGTCTTTTTACATGTACAGATATAATTCAATGTTCGACGTGGCTAATTGCCAGGAAAGTAGGTAGTTGTTTTCTGTTGAATATTCAGAAATATATTATGTACATACTTATATTATGTCTTTATCTGAAGGAGAATGCAAATTCTCAACTTCAGAAGAATTTATTTTCAAATTCTTATCGTGTGTGTTCAATAGATATAATTCAATGTTCGTCATGGCATATAGTCAGGAAAGTAGTTGTTTTGTGTTGAATAAACTGAGGAAGAATAATTATTTTTATCACATAGTGATTGTGGATTCTCAATGTATTTCCTCGTATACTATACATATACATATATCCATTTTTTCATGTTTATAATATTTATGAGAATTTTCCTTTTCAATGCTTCCGAGAACTTATAAAAGTTCAAAAAAATGTCAACTCCTTCCCTATCATTTCTAGGTTCGCATGATGTTCTTCGAACATTAAAGGTGTTCGCTTTCGTGGGAACCAACCATTGAAAAAATGTATATCGGTTTATTTTCGATAACTTATCTAGTTATTGAGGCAGCAGCAATAGCAGCATTGTCTTCGCTAAATAGTAGCGAATCGAAAATTTGTCAAGTATCCCTCGTATTATCTGGATGCAGGTAACGGCCCCTCGTACATTGTCTGACCTATTAAAATTTTGAATTTCCCGCTAATGGTGTCGAAATTTCGAACTATTTCATTTGCATTCTGCTAACGTCATTAGATTTTGAACATATTTTTGACAGTTGAATGTTGATGAGTTGACTTGCATTTAATTTATTATACACACGTTCAAATATGGTGAGAAAATATCAATAAAATACTTAGAAATTTAGTTCGAAATGTTCTTTATAATAATTTTATTTAAATTCTCTTTCAGGCCAATTATAGTGAAGACCAGATGGCTGGTAAGTAGTGCCACAGTAGAAAATCTTGACTAGGTTATATTGCCCCGCCTTATTATTTTCATTGTTTTTCTTCACATTCTTTCCACTTTTCTTTATTTATTTTCATTATTGAACAGATACATTATTTTAAGGCTATCTGCATTCGCACTATACTCAACTGTTGTCGTTTTTAACCGATTTGTTGGAGAATCACTCATTTGTGCAAAGAAACATGCTATGTAAGGTAGGTCATAAAAGCGAAATGAATCATGTTTGGCGATTCTTCCTTATATGGTATGATTTCGAAAGTTTACATTGCCCAACTTAGTAAGGCATTTCATCTGTAGATACTGAATTGCTTAACACAAGTCCTAGTTGTTCAGTGTAGTTACCATGTATATGTACGAAGTTCCAACAAAACTAACTCTAACATCTGTAGAAGGTTTGAGAACTCGAAAAATTGTCTGCAATATGTTAGCAATACAAGTTTTTCTTTTTTAAAGAGTTCCAGGAAGCCTTCCAACTGTTTGACAACAGAGGAGATGGAAAAATTCATGTTGCACAAATTGGTGATGCTTTGAGAGCTCTAGGACAGAATCCTACAGAATCTGATGTGAAAAAGTACACCCATCAGCACAAACCTGATGAGAGGGTGTCTTTTGAAGTGTTCTTACCAATCTACCAGGTAAGATATTATCATTTTTGTGTAGAAATATTATTAAAAATATGATTCAACTGGAAAACTGTTATCATCATTGCCTAAATCAGCTTGTTTTAATATGCTTTCAAAGTATACCTAGTTGTCTGGTTTTGAAAAGATAAGCACAAATTTGTTTTTGATGAATCATGGATATTTTAAGATAGGTAAAACTATGACCAACTGTTTAGTTGACCTTGTACTTTTATTTGGTTTATATAATTCAAAGAAGTGTAAGTTTTTTTTTATGATTTTATTGAACATAATAATCTAACTTGAATAATGTGAATTTTTAGTCTATTTTACTTCATTTTTGTCCTAGTTATCAGAAGATTTAAATATTGAGTCAGTTCAATAAGCTTAATGTACTTTGATCATTTTATGAAAGTGGCAGATCAAGCTACTCAAAGCTAGCCCTGTGCACCCTCTGAGTAGACTGAACTCAGTGAACTTTACCTTTTGATGAGTGATGTATTTGGTGACTCAGTATTAACCATAGAATATATTTATTCATTAATTATCTAGGTAGCTAGGTACAATTATTTGCTTAATCTACAGTTTGTAAATAGTCCAAATACCACAACTAGTCCAGAACCATAGTTCTAAGCACCCTAAGATTCCACAATTCTGAATTCACAGAAAATAGCAGTTTGTTTTGATGATGTGACCAATAATCACAAACAAAAGACAAATGTGAACCAATGGAAACAAAGTGAACATGCCCCTTTGACAGCTTTCAAGAAATCTGATGCTTATTCAATTGTCAATCTAAGTAATCCTGTATAATCATTGTTTCTGATATCACAAGAAAATGAAATAATTACTGATTTATATGAATTTTGGGGACATTATTGTGATCTGTCTAATCAAGATTTCAGAAAACATGACAAATTCCCTCAAAAATTTCATCTCAAGTTGACTTTCAGACAATGACCCATAAATGCAAACCATAGTTCTAAGCACCCTAAGATTCCACAATTCACAGAAAATAGCAGTTTGTTTTGATGATATGACCAATAATCACAAACAAAAGACAAATGTGAACCAATGGAAACAAAGTGAACATGCCCCTTTGACAGCTTTCAAGAACTCTGGATGCTCATTCAATTGTCAATCTTAGTAATCCTGTATAATCATTGTTCCTGATATCACAAGAAAATGAAATAATTACTGATTTATATGAATTTTGGGGACACTATTGGGATCTATCTAATCAAGATTTCAGAAAACATGACAAATTCCCTCAAAAATTTCATCTTGAGTTGACTTTCAGACAATGACCCATAAATGCAAAGCATAGTTCTAAGCACCCTAAGAATCCACATTTCACAGAAAATAGCAGTTTGTTTTGATGATATGACCAATAATCACAAACAAAGGACAAATGTGAACCAATGGAAACAAAGTGAACATGCCCCTTTGACAGCTTTCAACCAAGATTTCAGAAAACATGACAAATTCCCTCAAAAGTTTCATCTCAAGTTGACTCATGCAATGACCCATAAATGCAAATATCAAGGAAATTCTTTAGGTTTTTCCAACTGTACTATGAGCAATAGCATAGAACTCAACCAATGACTCAACTCCCAATTGAGCTCTTTTCTACCTTGAACGAGAGAGAGGAAAGTTCTCTCCTCTTCCATCTTTCTCTTCAATGCTACCAACGTGGCCGCATTGAAATATAGAGAGGTCCGATAAATCTTTCCTTGTCTAACCTCTAGTCTGCGCCACTGAACTATTTTCGATATTATAATGACGTGATATGTCTATGTCATGAATGTCATTGACTGATGATGCTTCGAATTTTGAAAATGGAATTTTGATTTATATCATACTTATTTTGACATAATTTGTTAATATCGTTAAATTTGACACTGTTGAATTGAAAAATTGTTCAACGGCACTGTTAAGATGACTTTAACGTCAATTTCCATCAAGGGACCCTAAGCGGCACAAAGTAGATGTTAGACAAGGAAAGATTCATCGGACCTTTCTATATTTCAATGCTTTTACGTTGGTAGCATTGCAGAGAGATGGAAGAGGAGATAACTTTCCTCTATCTCGTTCAAGATAGAAAAGAGCTCAATTAATTTTCAAAGCTACTTACATGCAACATATAAAATACATATCAGGATTTTGCTGTATAGAAATGTTTTTGCAGATATCTAATTCACCAAAAAAAAAAACAAGAACATCCCAAACACATTTACAATTAATCTTATGATCCCAGAAATCCAAGAAGACCACCAAATCCTACCTTATTTCCCTTGATTCTCAAGATGTTCTCTGATCATTACAGGATATCCCTTTTCATGGGAACCAGAACATATAAAAAAAATGATATCAGGTTCACAATCTTGATCTTTGCTGACAGAGTTGTAATTTTCAGCAAATTTCTAAAACTAGGAGTGCAGATACAGCTGAAGACTTCATAGAAGGTTTACGCCATTTTGATAAAGATGGAAATGGTTACATTAGTTCTGCTGAACTGCGTCACCTTCTCACTACTTTAGGAGAAAAACTTACAGATGATGAGGTGAGCCAACAACAAAATATTAAAAAAATTAATTTTTTTATTCAAACACTTTTATAACTGAGTTTTGTATTTTTTCAGGTTGAACAACTTCTCCAAGGCCAAGAAGATTCACAGGGTAATGTAAATTATGAGGAATTTGTAAAATTGATTATGTCAGGTTAACAGGGTTTCAGAGCATTTATATATTTATTGATAATTTAGATATATTTCTACAAAGTTATTACTTTTTGTATGTTATCTATTAACAACTCCATTCCACTTTTATACCCTGTTTAATAATCTTTTTTTCTTTTTCATTCGGAAATGTATCACTAAATAATTAGGGAAGATTAGGAACATTATAATATTTATATCTAGGGCAAGCAGTGTTGTTTTTTGATAGGAACAAAAATAAAAGAACTTGCATCAACTCAATAATTTTCATTATTATGATACAACTGATTATAATTCATTATCATCAAGTCATAAAGTGGGGTTCAGATTCAACAATTTGAAATTATCAGGAAGGCACATATTTACATAAAATCCATACAAAATAAGTCCCGAAAATTAACATCTCATGGCAGTGTGACATCGAAATTTTCACATAATCTTTGGTGGCAAATGGTTCAGATAAATATAAAAACTAAAAAGTAAATCATTAAAAGTAATTATAGTACACCGAAAATAAATAAATACTTATGGTACAGATAAATATCCCTAATTAAAACACAACCTATATGGCAGCAGTGGACGAAAGAGATTTGTTAGAAGTTTCTTGTTTCTTGAACCTTGCCAGTTCTTTAGATAATTCCTGGAACATAAAACAAACATTGCTTTTGTACTGAGAAATAAACAATTCAAATTTATCTTGTAATTACCTCAATTACAAGAAATTAGATTGAAATCCATCTTACAATTAGAGCATAATGAATAATTGCACGATAATTAGTGTTGCAATTAACTCATTTCAGGTAACTGAAATAATGACATAATTGGAATTCTAACGGCCGGTTCCATAAATATCGTCAAAAAGTAACTTTACAAAAAGTCTGATGCGTTCCATAAGGTGGAAGCAAACTTCCTCTACCAAAATATTCGTTTATCTATTTTTCCTACGACTACTACTGTAAGTGATGGATATTGTACACAAAACAATGGCAGTAAGCTTCTCCTTACACACGTGTGCGTAAAGATAGCGATCGCACGGTTTTCATAGGTATGTTGATAGATGACTTTGTTTTGTTGCTTAGGCGATGTGCGATGTGTCAATAACAATTAACAATTTCATCAATGTCACTAGCTAGGTGGGTAGGTACTTATATTTTTATCAATCAATCCAGCTATCCACCGAAACCGAAAGCATCAGGAAAGTTATATTTTTGGAAAATATGATTATTTTCTATTGAGAATCCTCAATTTCAGTTAAAAAAATGATGTCAAGCGATGACGATGAGCAGATTATTTCTACACCACCAGAAATGTTGGAATGCTAGAATGGTAAAAAATGAGTTGCTATACCCGCTAAGTCTCGTAAATGATACGAAATAGCACATCAAAAATTCCTGGACTGGAGAATTAGAAATAATACCGTGTCATTTTCGGAAAATTTCCTTTTAGTATATTTTCAAGAATTACCAAATTTCATGAAATCATCATCACTCTGGTCGATATATTCCATGTTACGATCAACACTAAATATCAATCACAATATTAATATAGCCACATATCCCATTTCCTTGAAAGGGAAGGATGGATTCCGAAGTAAAAAATCAAAAATACTTAATGCTGAACAGATCAATTACTTTCTGCAGAATGCTCCTGCTGAAGGTAATTTTTCAAATAACATACATACCCAACATTGAATTGATGGATTCGTTTTTCTTCAAATAACAGGATTTATTAAAAAAGATCCATCTTCGATATTAATTTTATAAAATATCTGATGATACGGAGGAACGGTGGTAGCTCAGTTGTTGGAAGCACTGGCTCCGAACCCAAACGTCGGTAGTTCAGAGCGCAGTTGGAGAACTTTTTTTAATTATTTTTAATAACGATTACAGAATCTCTCGTGCTGCACTGTTACAAATAAATAACCATTATGAATGTTAATTTTTTATACAATGTGTTTTTGGCTACCTATTAATAAAGCTGTTTGGATATGAAAAACGGCTCCATTTCAGTTAGAATTGAAGAAAATGTATCGGTATGCAATGTATCAATAAACAAACACAAGAATTGTAATTTGTAACTTTTCATGCAGCTAGCTCAGTGACGGGAGACGTTTTAAATTGGTATTCGTTATTTGTGCCGTGATACAATATCTGCACTATCCGGAAGAAAATATAGTGTAGTCGTAGAAAAAGTATAGTACAATTCTCGAGTTGTAAAGCAATTACGCACTTGTGGAGTTACACACTCGCCGCTATGCGGCATCGTGTGTAACTCTCTCCACTTCGTGCGTAATATGCGTTTTACAACTCTTGTTATGTAATATACTATTTCGCCATATCGACGGCACTAAATTTGGTTTGAATGAACTATTTTCACACATCTGACGTTGTCAATTGAATTTTTCACATTGAGTTTCAATTATAAACTGCATCATAATAATGAGCACAGAAACGCAATCGGAACCAAAAAGGAAAAAAGCACGCCATTCACTGAAGAAGACGAAATTCGCATGCTGAACGCAATTTAGGCGAGCGTGATATTATTGAGAATAAAGAAATCAATAAATATAGCATTCAGGTAAAAGTAAGTTAACACAATGATAATGGGTTGTAGATTTGGTAGAATTCTTCTGCATATCTTCATTATTTGCATACATTTTCAAGAACTGTGGACGCAGCGAAGCAATTGCTAAAGAAACTCTCCTCACAATTCGACAGGTAGAAGTTTTTGATATACCCATGAATTCACCAGCAGTTATCAAGAAATTTCCCACTGCATAGAATCGTAATGCAAGCAATAATTGATCTATTGGTTTGATGCAACCACCTCTGGAATATTATTCCTCATAAATATATGAATGTTGAGAGGACAATAAATATATTTGCATAATTGCATACTTATTACTTGGAAGAGATATCAGAGGTGCAATCTTCTGTAGTAGTGCTAACACTGTAGGCATTGTTAATCGGAATCTCTGGAAGAATTCAATATCATCAAATGTTTGGAGGTACTTTTGCCTCTGTCTGTAGATTTTCTCTTCTGAGAATCATTGTATTATCTCGTCACTCTCTGACGATGAGCTACAAGAACTTTCCATTGAGCGATTCATTCCCAGCGAATACTTTGGAAATGTCAATCGTAACGTCAGGTGAAATTAAATCAGTAAAGTTGACTTTGACTATAAAACAATCATATTTGAGACTTTACCGATAAAGTTCCTTTTTCGTTAAAGTTTTTTTGGAAATGAATTATGGAATCGAATCCACCACATCAAGGACACTTTTCAAATGAAAGGGAACTTTTAGTTGATTATGGAACCGGCTGTAAGTGCAATATTTTGCTGTCAATTGGATTAAGTTCAAATCAATCTCTATATGCTTACTTTATAATTACCTCAATTACAAGCAATTATATTGCAATTCATCTTGCTATTAGGGTATAATAATTGAATGGTAAAACTGCATTTATCTGCATGAAAAATGCAGTGTTACCTAATTGAAATATTTTGTCAAACTCTATTTTCAAGACCAATCAAGGAGGCAATTGAAACATAAATGTCTAATTTCAAAATGTATCTTGCAATAATTAAGGTTGATGCAGTTAGAGTTTGACAGAAAAAACTTGGAATCAAGCCCTACTTGCAATTAGGCTGATTGCAATATTTATCTCTCAACTTATCTTGCAATTAAAAGCAATGACAGCATAATAACTGCAAGATTATTGTTCCTGCAATCAACTCAATTGCAAGATAATCTTGTAATTAGACTGACTATAAGACAAATATGCCAATTAAGGAAAAGGAAGATGAATTTTGAGATTAGCCTCATTATAAAGGTTCTTTCAACAAGGACCGGTCGATGTTGTAATTGATTCAAGCTGTGTGTGAGATATTAAGGATTTTTTTATTTTATTCGAAAGGCCCATTTATGCCATAATTTATTGAATATGATATTGTTCAAATGTCCGCCGCGGCTTCGAACGGTGGCACGGATCCGAGAGGTCCAATTTTCAATGACTGCTGCATAAATGCGGCTGAATCTGAGCAATGGCTTGCGTTATGTTCACTTTCAAGGCATCGGTCGATTGCGGCTTATTAACATAGACCTGCGACTTCAGAAAACCCCACAAGAAAAAGTCTAGTGGAGTCAAATCGCACGATCTTGGCGGCCAATTCACAACACCTCTGCGAGGGATAACCCTACCCTCAAACCGTTCGTGCAGAATATCCATTGTATCGTTTGCTGTGTGGCACGTTGCGCCGTCTTGTTGGAACCACATGTCGTCCATATCGGTCAATTCAGGCCAAAAGGAATTGTTAATCATTGATCTGTAGCGCTCGCCGTTGACGGTGATGGCCTCGCCAACGTCATTTTCAAAGAAGTACAGACCAATGACGCCGGTGAACCTTCTGTTGGTTGTCTTCGTCCCATACACGGCAATTTTGCTCATTAACAAAACCATTCATCCAAAAATGGGCCTCTAAAGATTATTTTTCGGCCAAAATCGAGGTCCTTTTCCAAACGTTCCGAAGCCCACTGAGCGAACAAACGGCGTTGCCTATGGTCATTTACTTTGAGCTGCTGGGTCAGTTGGATCTTGTACGGGTGCAGGCCCAAGTCCCGGCGCAAAATTCTCCAAGTCGAAGTCTGCAAAAGGCAGAGTTCTTGTGCACGGCGAGAAATCGACTGCCTCAGAGTCTCCTGCACACTCTGACGGACAGCGTCAGTGTGGTTGTTTGTTTACCGAACCGGTTGTCTCGATTTTGGCTGCATTTCGATAATAAAGTTTAATCATTTGGACATGCTGCTCGATCGTGTAACTTGTCATGGTAATTTGGCATCAGTGACTGAATAAAATACAACAGATTTGACAGATGCCCCTAAAAAAACATGGCCGCCACACACTGTCAACATCGACCGGTCCTTGTTGAAAGACCCTTTAGAACAATCTTGTGATTATTTTCTTTTTCTTGTTACGTCCGAAGCTTCCAGTGGATAAAAAAATTGAGAAACAGTTCTGTCGGTGAAATTGGATTTTTACCTTTGGAAGAGAATTTCTAGAAGTAGTTCTGGAATAACTCTTGATTATCCTACTCAGCTGATTGTACAGATCGAGGAGTGTGACCAAGGAACAGCCATCGGTTATATCCACAGCCTTGTCCAAAACTTTCTCTAATTCCGCTAATGGACACTCGATCGGCTTCCTATTTTTTATATTCTCCGAAACTGAAAAAATAATAATCAACATGCAGACAGAACAGTGTGCAAAAATTGCTACCATTTTCGTTTAAAGCCTCCTCTACATCATCGAAATCCAGAGGGTTGTCTAGCAATTCTGACGGGCTCAACAGGTCACTCAGTCTTCTTTTTGGTGACCTTGAAAATAAAATAATATTTCTTATTTTTTATTCATAGGCTACATACACATCACAAATTGAATGAAGATTTATATAAACTTTATATTCTTTTGAGATCTACAGTGCTTTTCTTTAATGCCCCCCCCTTTCATATTTTGAACCGAACAACTGAATATACACGGCGCCATTTAAAAAAAAAGTTGGGTCCACTTCCAATCAAACAGGTGGTTGAAGAAAATTGTCATTGGGTTCAAGGGAAGCGCCATCATCGATAATATAACCCTTGTGAATTTCAAATTTGAATCTCTTCAAATAATGTCTTCTTTACTTACTGCAATGGACTCGATGCATTCGATTTACGGGCACCGGATGAATCGCAGTCGATGGTGAGGGGGGTGGTGATTTCGTTGTCGACCACTAGATGGCCAGAGTCGACTTGCGGCGTTGCCATCGCTGCCGACTCCGCCGGATCGGCGGGGTCGATGCCAGGAATCACGGAATTGGCGGCCGGATCGGCCTTGAGCTCAGTCTCGATCTCTTTGGATTCGTCATCAGATGACAGTTTTCCTTCAGTCTAAAATAATGGGGAGGTTTTCATTCTTTCATCTTTCGGATCGAACGAAAAGGAATTGCTATTATGTTCGTAGAACATTTGCGTAGTTGGGTTGGATATAGGGAGAAGGTAGGTATTGGTTCTGTTTAGACTTTTGGAGGTTCCAAGTTCTCGGTAATAATTCCCTATCCAAAAAATACCAATTTTCAATTGTTAGAGCGGCATAATTTTCACTATTTGACTCATTCAAGGTATGGCATACGTTTTTGGGGTGTCTGCAACCATTATCGTTCTAAATGAAATAATAGTTTATTCATTGAACAAAATGCAAGAATCGAACTTATCTATTTAAGTATTATAAAGAGGAAAGATTTGATTGTTTGTTTGTATTGAATAGGCTCCGAAAATACTGGATCGATTTGGCTGAAAATTGATGGGGAGGTAGCTTAGAACCAGGAGAAGGTTATAGGATACTTTTTATCCCGGTACCATAAGGAAATTTAAGATGGCGGATCTAATATATCTGACGAGTTTTGTAATTATGGTCCGATTCTATTCAAAATTGGTATCTGGGGGTTTTCAGGGTCGGAGATTATGATTCTTTCGTCAGAATTAGAAAATTCGGGCGGAATTTGGAAATTCAAGATGGCGGAACCAATATGGCGGACGAGTTTTGTAATTATAATCCAAATCTTTTTAAAATTGCTACCTAGGGGTTTTCGTGATCGGGGATTATGATTCCTTCGTCAAAATTTAGAAATTCAAGATGGTGGATTTTATTCAAATTTGGTATCTGGAGGTTCTCGGGGTCGGAGATTCTGAGTCTTTCGTCAAAATTAGGAAATTCAAGATGGCGAACCCAATAGGCGGACGAGTATTGTAATTATGATCCGATTCTCTTCAAAATTGTTATCTGGGGGGTTATGGGGTCGGAGATTATGATTTTTTTGTCAAAATTTGGAAAGGGCGGGATTTGGAAATTCAAGACGGTGGAACTATACCTGACAGGTTTTGTAATTATATACCGATTCATTTCAAAATTTGTAAGTGGGCGTTTTCGGGATCAAAAAATTATGATTCCTTCGTCAAAATTAGGGAATTCAAGATGGTAGATCCAATATTGCGGACGAGTTTTGTAATTATGTTCCGAATCTATTCAACTTTTTCATCTGGGGTTTTAGGAGTCGGATATTATGATTGTTTCGTCAAAATTGGGAAATTCAGGTGAACTAAATAGAATTAGAAAATAAAATAATAATAGTGTCTTGATGAATATTGAACTATATTATAGAAATAATAGCAAATAGCAAAACAACGTTTGCGAGGTCTGCTAGTCGACAATATTTTCAGTAAGCCAGTGACCTCTATTTCAAACTGAGTCATTCATTTGTCATGGTAACCCTAAACATTTATCATATTCCTATGAAGATCCATCTTTCTTTCAAGTTTGTAAACAAACATTTCTCATATTGAAACATTTAAAGTATGAACATTGTTCATATTTACACATCCAGCAGGATGCATTAAAAAAAAACATGGTTTAAGCAATGGGAAAAAGTGAATTTGAACTGGAAACTCATCAGTGCTATGATGAAACATTACTGTTTGCACTTTATCAAGTGATTTCATGCAAGCTAACAATATGAAGGAAGGAACTGCTTATTCAAACCTTTATATTGCTGATAACTTTGCCATATTTTTAAAAATCACACCTACATTCATTTTAGAACAAAGGTAATTTGTCAATTGGGAAAGGAAAAGTTGAAACTGATGAAACAAATCAATGTTTCACACATGACTGATTCAATGGAAGGAAAAAAAACTTAAGTACTCTGTAGATCCTGGAATAACCTCCCACAACTCGATTGAAGCAATGAAAACTGTGGTTGAGTACACACACTAGAAGAAAACACACAAAAATATCTAGAAATATTCGCGATCTTCAGATTTTTCCTCAAAAATTTACTCCGACCACGTTAACTTTGGAATGGTCACGAATGCATTCAATACACATAAGCGTTGCGTCACGTGGTGTCTCAAAGTTAATGTGGTCCGACTCCACTTTATATCTGCCACAAAAGAATATGTTATACAGAAACTCCTTCAACAAAAATTAATGGGGAAAGTCTCACTTGTTGTAGAGATATATCTGATGTCCGTTTTTTCTTCCTCTTGGTCAATTCGCCTCTCTTCCACGATATCCGTTTCCGCTTCTTCATCGGCGTTCTGCTTTCACTTTTCACCGTCGACTTGATAGTCTCTTTGTGGTCTCCGTTCTGGAGGTTTTCCGGAATCTCCATCGATTGATCGTGATTGAACGGGGCTTCTGTAAACACTCGTTAATGATCCAACAAATAGCAACAAATAACGAGGTATCAGGGTGTTCTCGGAGGTGGAACATTAATTTTCAACATAAACTCGCTAGACGGCCGAACCTATAGTGCGTAATATCAAGTGCTAGAGGTGTCTGTTTTGTGAGTTTTATCAAATGACAATGGGGAAGTGTCCTATATTGAGGTTTCATCTCACTGTGAAGTTTGTAAACAAATTATATATACTTATTCTTTCTTTTTTTCGTAAGATCGAATTTCACTTCAGAAAAAAATTGAAAATAAAAGAGGAACTTGGCTCCTCCACCATTCCATGACTTCATTAAAGACGCAAAATAGAAAAATGTCATTTTTGTACAGGGTGATTGACTATGGATTTCTCGACTTTAACAGCTGATATCTCGAAAACGAAAAAAGATATTTGAAATTTGGCGAAAGGTACTTGAATAAGATGTCATTTCCTTTTAGAAAATGTGTTCTCTGCTTGATTTTATCATTTCATATACAGGGTTCGTGAAAAAAAAATTTTTTTTTCAAATGGAACCCCCTGTATATTATCGCATATTTCGAAAGAGCTATCTTTCCTGATTTCAAAGATATATACTTTTCATATATTCTATCGAGGGCTTGACGAAATATCAGCAAAATTAAATATTAATATTTGGTCCGAGTTAGCTATGGTTGAAATAGAATGAGATGATGAATAAGTGAATTGACATTTGGCCAACATTCCAGTGACATAAGTGCGCAAAATTTCGACAATTTTCTCACGATGCCATATCCACTGGAACAAAGAAGAGATATTTTGGAGTGCTATTTTTCAGTTAATAAAAATCTTGCTGAAACACTTACACTTATACTTACTTATATTTAATCTTTCAGCTATGACAAGACAAAATTCAATCCGCTTCTCATTATCATCATAATTGAGTTTGTGGCATGGTCTTATTCTGAAATCCCTATATTTATACAGGCTGATTCACGGTGGATGGCACATTAGACGTTTCTGGTGAACCAGACAATGGATCTTTTTGAAAATTCGATGAAGGGCATATTCATTCATTTCAAATGGAACACTCTGTATTTTATTGCATTTTTAGATTCTCCCTGAAGAGCTGATTTCATCCATGTATCACACTTGGGGTCTAGCGGAAATGATTACAGAGATATAGGGTGTGAAAAATCGACATTTTTCAACTTTAGGATTTTTTTGTGTCGAAACTATTCATCATTGGTCAAAACGGCTCACATGTTCCTATCTCAACTTTTGATTAAATATCTACTGATATTTAATTGGGACATATACCGGGTGATCAAGATTCTGAATTCTGCACCACCCTGTATTTGTTTCAATTAAATGTCAGTAGATATTTGATCAAAAGTTGAGATAGGGACATGTGAGCCGTTTTGACCAATAATGAATAGTTTCGACAAAGAAAATTCCTAAAATTGAAAAATGTCGATTTTTCATACCCTAAATCTCTGTAATCATTTTCGCTAGACCCCAAGTGAGATACATCAATGAAATCTGCTCTTCAGGGAGAATCTAAAAATGCAATAGAATACAGAGTGTTCCATTTGAAAAATCAAAGTTGCTACTGCTTTCTAATAGAAGCGGCAACACGGCATTGTCGAAAATATTTTAGTTGGCTAGAGAATGTCCGAATATGCCCTCCATTGAATTTTCAAAATGATCCATTGTCTGGTTCACCAGAAACGTCTAATGTGCCATCCACCGTGAATCAGCCTGTATTTCCTTAAGGTATGTTGAACAAAATAATAGCTGAAACCAAACTCTCTCACTGCATTTCTTACTGACCGTGAAGGATCCTCAACAAAATACTGGATTACAAGAAGTTCCTCGTCTTCGTCGTCTTGCCTTCAAACTATTCTCTTGATATTCGACAAACAGGAAGTTCTGTCAAATTTAGCAGCCAAATACTTTACATAATTCTTACTTGATAATCTCCTGCCTGGATAACTCCTCATAAACTTATGAAGTGTTTCAGCATCAAGATTTTTATTAACTGAAAAATAGCACTCCAAAATATCTCTTCTTTGTTTCAGTGGATATGGCATCGTGAAAAAATTATCGAAATTTTGCGCACTTATGTCACTGAAATGTCGACCAAATGTCAATTCACTTATTCATCATCTCATTCTATTTCAACCATAGCTAACTTGGACCAAATATTGATATTTAATTTTGCTGATATTTCGTCAAGAACTCGATAGAATATATGAAGAGTATATATAATATCTTTGAAATCAGGAAAGATAGCTCTTTCGAAATATGCGATAATATACAGGGGGTTCCATTTGAAAAAAAAAATTTTTCCACATACCCTGTATATGAAATGATAAAATCAAGCAGAGAACACATTTTCCAGAAGAAAATGACACCTCATTCAGGTAACTTTTTTCAAATTTCTAATATCTTTTTTCGTTTTCGAGATATCAGCTGTTGAAGTCGAGAAATCCATAGTCAATCACCCTGTACTTCAAATACCAAAAACTTATTATTGCAGAAGGAATATCGTACGTACCTGGAGTGTTGATGTAAGGTGGCAGATATTTGGTGGCGCAATGTTTTCTCGCCTTCCTCTTTTTCGAGATGTCCTGGCACTTATCTTCGAAATCCGTGTCCATTTCCGTTTTTATCAGAGTGTATGCATAATCGCGAAGCGAACATGCTCTATGTCTGATTTGTTTATCGGCAGAAGACCTGAATAAGGAATAAAAATGTTGAATAACCAAGAAGGTTTGAGATAAGTGATGTTGCCGGAAACATTTTTATTTATATCCACAGGGGTTTGAGAAATTCCAGTGATTATTTTTGTCACAAGTCAAAATGTGACGTCTTCGTTGTTTCAACCAATACCAACGCTCAATTCTAGCCAATCATTTGGTAACATACTGATAATTTGTTAGTATCAAATTACAGTGATAAATGATTCATGTTTGGCCTATAGACTGCCTATTTATTGATTAATAACTTCGCTTACTCCTGTTACGACATGGTTCCTTTTTGTAAATATATGTTTGATCGTTTGGATTAGGATGGTTTCTATTTCGTTAAACGCAAAAAGAGATTCGTCTGACGACTTCTACAAGATAATGAGTATTTGCCTCGGTGTTTGCCGCAAGAAGAAACCTCTGATGGGAAAGGAAGAATTTTTTTGGAATTACCGGAAATATCGAGCAGCAGATTACAAATCGCAAAAAAGGTGTCAATAGAGAAGATATTAGTTGATTTTACTTGATTTTTTAGGATTTTGCGTATTATTTCAATATATTTGTAGTGGGACAAATCAGATGATTTGCCCCAAAATGTCACTGTGTTTAACAAATTTTTTTATCAGGGAGCCTAAAAGAAAAATCCAGTAGCTTGTCAGTGACACTTTGCTTGAAAAAATGTTTAAAGGAAAAAATATAGATATAATGAAAAAATATCGAATTTTTACTCATCTTTGGACGTTTCGGAAACGAATCTGATCCCGTTCTCAACATGAAGAGGCAAAATATTTTTCTTTGGAAGTTGTGCTCTGCTTTTTTTTCTAAAGAAAAATATTTTGCATTTTCATGTTGAGAACGGGAACAGATTCGTTCCCGAAAAATTCGATATTTTTCGATATACAGAGTGACCCATTTGAAAGCGGGCAACCCCTGTATCTCACGTAATCGTTGGGTAAGGATCATGAAATTTGCTGGAGCGAGAGATATACCAAAAATGCACTCTATGACCAAGTGGGGTCATCTTCAGTGATATACACTGCTCGCCAACAGCCATGGAACCACCCCAATTTCTGGAAAATGATATTAGGAGTCAAAATAGGTTGAAAATCACTTCGGATTCGGAATCAGGACGCCCAATTTACTAACTCTTCATATTTTTCCTTGAAAATTTTCAGTTCTGAAAAATTAAATTTTGTCGCACTTTTCACGGAAGCACCCCCGTATCTCACGTAATTGACTTTATCTTTGGACTTTCCGTTCCTCCTGCAAATTTTAGAACCCTACCTCAATAATTACGTGAGATACGGGGGTGCTTCCATGAAAAGTGCGACAAAATTTAATGTTTCAGAACTGAAAATTTCCAAGGAAAAGTGAATTGGGCGTCCTGATTCCGAATCCGAAGTGATTTTCAACCTATTTTGACTCCTAATATCATTTTCAGGAAATTGGGGTGGTTCCATGGCTGTTGGCGAGCAGTGCATATCACTGAAGATGACCCCACTTGGTTATAGAGTGCATTTTTGGTATATATCTCGCTCCAGCAAATTTCATGATCCTTACCCAACGATTACGTGAGATACAGGGGTGTCCCGCTTTCAAATGGGTCACTCTGTATGTACCAAAAATCGGTGCATGATGAAATTCAATAGAAAATATCAATTTCTGGAGATGCTGCATTACATCTCATGAAATGAAAACATTCCATTAAAATACTCCATTGATTTATTAATGAATTAATGTCTTCAGAGCTAAATAACTCCAAATTTACTCATTGTCGCCAGGTTCCTTTTTGCATAACTAACTAACATTTTGTATTGTTGTTGTTGACATATTCATTCCGTTGATTTGTCGCTTCAACATAAATAAAAAAGATTACCAAAACATATGTACTCTTTCAACCACATAAAGAGAGAATCCTAGATTTCTAAAATTAGCGGCCCACGCAATGCAGCTCGAAAATATCGAAACCGAAAAAAATATACATCTGGAAGCATTCGAGTTTTTTACCTGGCAGGGTTATATTCCAGAGCGTTTTGGCATATCAGTTCAATGTCGTTCAAGAAGTCTTTGGCACACTCGTAACGATGGATGTCGACTTTCGTCATCATCGTCTCCAGATCCATGGGTTGCGTTATGATGGTCGTGTAGTCGGGAACTTCTTCGGTGTCTACCGGTTTGGTGAACATGTAAAACCTGAAAAAATGTTCCATGTCATTTCAAAATAATTTGCTACACAAGTCGAATTCACACAATATATGTTTTTCATGTATTTGATGCAATCATTTCTCATTCAAAATTATCTCAAATACGGTTTTTTTCCAGTTTCCAAAAGTGCTAGCTTTCGATTATGTGATTCACCGATAAGCACTGACATTTCTCAACAACCAAAATAGTAAGGGAGGCAAAGAGGCTAAATAGGGATTTACTGGAGCGTCGTGGGGACGTATCATATTGTGAAGATTAGATGCGAAAATGAAAAAAGTTTATATGATATATCGTCGCCTCAGAGCAACTGTAGGACACCAAAAAAAAAGGTATTTCGACGTTATTGAGAGTTTAGCATAATCAACTATATCTGCAACTAGTGGAAAACTAAGAAAATCCTTATGAAGTCATAAAATATCTTATTTTCAAAACCTTTGTGTTGCAGAAGTTCCTAATTTTATATCGAGTTAATGTAACAGGAGATTGTTATACCATATCCTGCTGTATAGCACTGAGATTTTTTTTCCAATACATTAGATATCCTAATCTATCTCCCAGCTTCGATACATATACATGTCTACTCGGTCTAATCGTGTTCAGTAGTTCAGTATTCTGGAAACGATTGAACTGATGATATCAACGCCCTCAGAATAGTTTTGTTCATAAATATGAATCCGACGATTGAACTGAAGAATGAACCATTATCAAGAGGCCAGTATATAGTTGAAATTGCTAAGAAATTACCAGCGATCTCAATTTTCCTACTGTTTATTCATTATTTTTTATGATAAGTTCATTCCCCCAGGATGATAATATCCTTGCCAAAATACTGATTACTTAAGAAAAACAGTAAGTTAACTGACCCATAATCTTGACAATATTGACAATAATGTAGAGGAATCACCTTAATCTGTCGGTTGGATTTTTTTTGTTAACTGAATGTAAAAACTAAAATATAAAATATACAGGGTGGGTCAGTTTTTTGTAGCAGGACATCAACAGCTCGAAGAATTCACAATTTTGAGATGGAATAAGGCTCATGTAGACATAAAGGGTGGACCAATAGTGTGGCAAAGTGAGATAACGGCTTTGCTGTTTGAGATGAACAAAAATTCTTGAGATGGTCTAGTCTCATGAGCAGTAGATTTCTGAAATATTTTGCGTTATACAGGGAAACTCAAAAATGCGTGGCGTAAAAAACTTATACTTTGCATTCTCAGATTCCTTCTTATGAGCTGACAAGGTTCAAGCATTAACAACAATATACGAAGTGGTACTTTTTCTTCAGTTTCCTACGTTACCACAATTTGTGGCTGCAAGCACCATGCTTTATTGATGATTTTCGATACTTCGGCTTGTGCCAATCGGCAGAGTATGTTATTTCCGTGATCCGTGACGTAATTGCCTTCAGAATAAGAAAAAATTTAACCGCGCTCGAGAATGTACAGGTGAAGATATTTTTTTGCAACTTTGTGGCTCTCCCAATTCCTTATGTCATGCTCAAATCGTCAGATTATTGAAATTCACACTTTTCTGCATGTGATTGACGTACGTAAAGCAATTATGCTGAATGAATCACAAAATTCAATATAAACAAATAGGTTGACAAAATGGCATTGCTCCAAAACATACAAATGATAAATATAGAATGGATAGAGGTACGTATGTCCTATCATACAGTCTTTCAACTATAATTAGAAAACCGAATCCTTTTGAAGACCTCTCCATTGTGAATACTCCTGTGCATTGTATTTGGAAATCGGTTGAAATTTGAGTTATGGAATAACCAGTATATCACCTGATTAAGCTACTGTGTTAGCGAAACATGTCGTGTGTTTGAGAATTTTGTGGAAATCTTATCGTTTGTGGAGTTTTTCAAATAATGTGTGTTTTGAATCTAGTAGTGGCAGTGAGTAGAAACAAACAACCAACACTCACAGCTTGTTGTTGGCCAACTTCTTGCATACGTCCCTCAAGAAAATCCTCAACTCCCTCAACGTGTGCTCCTCCGTCTCGTACAACAGCTTCGCCTGCGCCTCCGTTAGTGGCGCCGGCACCGGCGTCGGCGCTCTCGGCAGCGGTGGCGGCGCCTTTGGTCGCTCGCGGAAGCACCGCATCGGCGCGGCGCCACCCTCCACGATCAGGGGGCGGTAGAAGGCGCGGCGGCGGTCCGGAGGGGCCGGCCGCAGCTCCTGGACTTCTTTGCGGTAGTGCGAGAATATCGATTGGACCTGCGATAATAACACGGTTTTGCATATTTTTGGTCCTTCGAGCCGGATCGTCTCATTGAAAACTACATTTTTTGCTGCTTCCTCGATATCGCTTGGGAAATCTAAACTTGAATCAGCTATTTTGCGCTAATGACAATATCGAACGAATATATTACGTGAATATCGCCGATGATTTTGATGTTATCGTCTGACGTTATACTTCAAAGTGACGGGTGAAGTCAACTTGCTTACTAAATAATTTTAGTACATAATCGGTAGAGCTAATAATATTGTACGTAACTAATTAGAAAACACTCCATTTTGTGAAATGATGGGATTTTGTAGGACGAGCGAAGCGAAGTGTTTTTTATTCCATCGAAGGAAGTCCGAACTGATGAATGAGCATTTTCTAGATGACGTCCCCATTTGTTCTGATGGAATTTATGATGGAACCGATAGATCAATGGAATATACAACACATCGATGGAAAAACGGATTCATTGTGTGTCAGTCTGTCAGAATCGGAAAAGGCTGATACGATTTTATTCATCTCTCCTAAAATATCTCAAGACTCTGAAAAATACCTCAATGTTTTTTTGTTTCTAGTCAAATCGAAACGAAGAGCAATATTTCAAATGTGTCAATTGTCATGTCACTTTTCTAAATCTCTAGATTCTTGCAAAGCAGATTGAGTGTGCACTTTATAACTACAGTTTAATGGATGTCCATCAACATTTCTGCGGAATTTTACAACAGTTCGATGCTTTCTTCGATTCATGGGCATGTTGTGCCAGCTCCGAAAAATATGCCAAAAACACCGTTACCGAGAAAGAACTGCATGTCTTTTTCATCTTCCATTCGTAGACCATCAAACAACCAATTTTTAAATCAATTATTATTATTGTCACTATAAGTACGTTTTGTCGGGTAGCCCTGAAGGTAAAGGCCTATTTTTTTAAATAAATTTCATGAAATGAATTAGGTGGCCGATGTCAGCGAAAAGAAGAGCTGAAGTTATGGTTAGACTCGATAAGTCTTGCGTTTTTACCCCTCAATTTTAAACCTTACACGAAATACCAACCTTGACCTCAAATCTGAGTAACGCGATCTGGTGGACAATCGAATATGTTTGGGCCCCCATTGCTTTAGAATAACGTTACACCCGCCATCATTTTAAATGATATTCTTCCCTATTCAATCTCTTTTTTCGCTTTGACGGTTGAAACTAGTTGTGCGAAGGAATGAATTGAAGTTAATATATTTTATTTCAATCAGCTAAATGACTATGAAATAACTATGAACTTGGAAATATCAGAAAAACACTTAGTTAAGGTAAGTTTTCGGAGAAAATTGCCACTGAAAATAAAAACTTACATCGTCTGGCAAATTGCTATAGACAGTTTCGGAAGTAGCTAGAAACAGAATCGGTATGTTCGGGTCCAGTTGTGCCAGTTGAGCTTTGAAAATGGCATGGACCGTTTCCGACACTAAACACCACCATTTGTCGATACTTGGAATGTATACTATGCTCGGAACATTTTTCCTAGCTTCACCAAAGACCTTAAAATATTGCATAATATAAATTCTATAAACAATAAGAGTTTCTCCTGTCAAGACATTTATAATGAAAACATATTCAGTCAGGAAAAATAAAAAGGGGAATGTTGATGGTAAGTATAATATATGGATTTATAATAAGTTTCATTAGTATATCTTCAGTTGATTTTCAGACAGTTAAAAATTAATTTCTCTAGAGTAATTGAAACAGTTCAACTGGAATAATTTAACACCTAAACATTCTGGGAAATTTAAAATGGAGGTAGGTGAAGGTTTGATTTTACCCACCTGAATACAAGCTTCTTCTGCAGATCTACCGGTTTCCTGGTATAACATACACAGATCCAGTAAATAGGCATGGATATGTTCCATTTTGAATAAAATTGCTGGACCTAAATGCGAAGTTTGGCCATGCCCAGAACCGTTTCCTGTTATGATCAATTGAGCTGGTCTCACATTTGGAGACAATTTAACCCTAAAAAATACGAATCAATGTTTTTTGAGAATGAGAAAATGAAATCAACGTTTGTTTCAAATCTGAGATTGTCATTACATAATCGGGTCAATTGTTATATATTTCTGCTATGTCAGTAAATCGACCCGATTGTATTAATTCATTTTTTATTGTCACTTACTTAGCTAAACTTGCACTCAATCCATGTGGGAATGTGTGTTCTAAGATACTCAAGGATTTTTTAAGAGAATCCTGTAATAAGGGTTCCAATACAGGAAATAGTTTTCTTCCTAAACCTTGCGCCACCCTTTGTGAAGCGGGAACTAATAAAGATTTGGCTCGCATAAAGTCAACTTTTTCAACCTAAAAGAGTATCAAAATTAAAGAATAAAACATAAGTTTGCTTCCATCATAATCAAAGAATTTTACTTATTTATCCACCCGAGAGGATATTATTCATATTGAAGAATGTGAAAACAATACATTTCCTTGAATGGTCAATTTTAGTCCGGATGAAAAAGATCTAATCAATGGACTCACCTTGACGTTTTCAGGATTCAACAGTAACCTATGCTCAGAATTGTACACTTGAGGATAAGTCTTCCTGAAACTTTGTATCACAGCTTCCGAGCATAGAGCCCTCAAATCTGAGCCACAATATCCTACGGTATTCTCTGCCAGATAGCCCAACATTTGTTTGCTAGGCGGTTTAGACCATAACGTTGTATGGACGTTAAGGATTTCTTCGCGTTCCTGAAAAATAAACATATTTTCAATATTCAATGTTTTTTTCTTGGTATATCATTGCTTTCAAGAAGAAAAGAACTGTGTCAAAACTGTGTCAAAACTATCTCATCTAAACATCACCGGATCTATATTAGACAAATCACTTCAAAAGATGTCTTCTATATAGATATATTTATACATAGATTCGGAAGTTTTTAGTAAATCGGAATAGGGATGCTTGAGATATTGAATAAATTGATAATTTTGTAAACTTCATCAACACCCTTTATGGTGACTTTACTCAATAACATCCTCAGGACATTTTGAAATTTGTATCAACTGTATAATTATGATTCATTTGTATTACAAACCTAACGATTTCTACTGTTAATATAGGCAGAGTATCTCGTGTCTGACAGTTTACTTAATGAAATATTTGCAGTCCTAATTTGAAACGACCTTCTACTTCCTAAGTGCATCCATTCTCGCAATAATACATTTGGTTGATTCCCCGCGTTCACAATACTGAAAAGTAGCATTGTTCTTGTTTGCTTATAGGTCATTGCATAGACAGAACATCCCGTATCCGAATATTGTCTGACAGTTTGGTGTTACTAACCTAGAATAACTAAAAAATTGCGTATCGAAATGAAAACTGCTTCAATAGCCATTTGAATTTCAATGAAGACGAAAATCATTCCAAATAGTCCAAGATTGTTAGCATTTCACCTCGGAATTCGGTGAAGAAGGTTAGCTTTTGAGAGGGCAAAATGTGTTCTCTTTTACTTCACTTTTATATCGCAGCCTACATTGTCTCTTGCGCCAATAATTCTTTCCCTTATCAATAATCAATCATTATAACAAATAAATAAAGATCGCCTGAAGGGCAAAATGTGTTCTCTTTTACTTCACTTTTATATCACAGCCTACATTGTCTCTTGCGCCAATAATTCTTTCCCTCATCAATAATCAATCATTATAACAAATAAATAACGATCGCCTGAAGTCATGTTGAGTCGGAAAACAACCAATAAGAAGAAGAATGGAGTTTACTATATTAAAATTAGCCTCTTCTACTTCTACAAAGGGAACGCACTTTTTCGTATCCCATATAAAAGAAGGGAGACGAAATTGTTTAATTTTGTCCAGATCCGATAGACCACGATGATGACAAATTTCTGTGTATTGCCAAGATCTGCCGTCTGTGCTTGAAAACGAGGAAAGCATTAATCATACATTGGATTATATAATATACATTTTTTATGTATATTTATTCTATGTTTGTTCCTTAATTGAAATATGTGAATTCTGCTATTGAAATAATTTCTTTATATATTTTATATTGATTTCATCATTACATGTACCTAAGAACAACAACAACAATATTGTATTCTGGAAATAAGTGTGCCAACGCGGTATTCGCGTATTTACTACGAGTTACGCATATGTTTCTCAACTATGTCAAAATTCGACGTTTCAGTGTCGTTGTATTGTGTTTGTTACCATTTAAGGACTTTTTGTGTGTTTCAATTGATTTTCAGTGTTTTCTTGGTATGAAATTATTATATAAAGACAATTATTAAAAGTCTTATTGATTGTGAAAAAGTCCACCATACAAAGCCCAAGGTTATGTTTCTTTCAACTTGATAAGTGGTGAAGTTACCGCATGTTATTCAAGTAAATTATTCAAGAAACCACGTTTTTTGTTCAAATTCCACTGAATGATGGATCAAAATTAGGTAAGTACCTAAGGTACTGACTATATTTGGTATTAAAATTGGAAGATAAGACCTAAAGATTTTTTATAAGGTATAATAGTGTTGTCATTGTAGTAAAATTGTCTTGCCTCTCGCTTAACCTACGCGACTGGTAAATAAAAGTGTGAATTGCCAATTTTTAAAGCCATCTCTTTTCAACTTATTTGAAACTTTCATCGAATTCCGGTCTTCGATGGACCAGAAGCGATACTCACACTCCTCGACGGCAACGGGAACAGCAGCTCCCTGTCGAATCTTCCGGGCCGCCTCAGCGCCGGATCGATGGCGTCTATCCTGTTGGTAGCGCCGATGATGATGACCTCACCCCTGTCCGAAAGCCCGTCCATCAACGCCAGCAAAGTGGACACGATGCTGGCGTGCACCTGGTCGGACCGAAATGTACGCACGGGCGCCAAACCGTCCAGCTCGTCGAAGAAGATGATCGACGGCTTCATTTCAGCCGCCTGAATAAAATTACTTATTTATTAAAAGTAGTATTAGTTGCTAGCTCGACGCGACGAAAAACAGAGAAGAATATCAATTCGCTGGCAATTATTCCGCAGTTATCCCCACCATTCACGATTTCATTCATTTACCCGTGTTTGGCGTTTAGAATTGTTTAAATGATGTATGATTGAACCACACCGTCTCTGATTTAGTTTAGGGGTCTATCCTGTTGGCGACAACGTTGATGATGACCTCATTCCTGTCCGAAAGCACGTCCATCAGCGCCAGCAAAGTGGACACGATGCTGACGTGCACCTGGTCGGACCGAAATGTACGCACGGGCGCCAAACCGTCCAGCTCGTCGAAGAAGATGATCGACGGCTTCATTTCGGCCGCCTGAATAGAATTACTTATTTATTAAACAAGGGAAAAAGTAGTATTAGATTCTAGCTCGAAGTTGTGTTGTTTTCTGACACGACGAAAAACCGAAAAGAAAATCAATTCGCTGGCAATTATTCCGCAGAGTTATCCCCACCATTCACGGTTTCAATCATTTACCCGTGTTTGGCGTTCAGGATTGTTGACGTATACTTTTATATGATGTATGAATGAATCACGCTGTCTCTGATTTAGTTTAGGAGTCTATCCTGTTGATGGCGCCGATGATGATGATGACCTCGGCCCTGTCCGAAACACGTCGAAGATGATGGACGGCTTCATTCGGCCGCCTGGACACGAATTCATACAGTGTGGTCCAGATTAAGGGTTATGAATTTTGTTAGGTGATAGATACAACAAAGAACAAAGGTAAAAGGTATAGAAGTTATGGATAAAAACTTTTTCTCATCACAACTTTGAAGCACTCGACCATTTTCTTTCAAATTTCGCACAGAGACTAATGTAATACATTCCGAAGAGATGATTGAGATCATCGAATAATCTGTATTTGTTCTTTCAAATCAAAGCCTGAAATAGGCATTGAACTTATCAAGACATAGGATTAAGGTGTAATAAATATAGAATGAACAAACAAAAAAGAAGAAAGATACCTCGGAAATACTACAAAGTTTAAGGACATCATTTCACAGACATAAAAATAACACAGAAATTATGTAATATAGTACATTCCATAGTTGCCAACTGTCAGAGAAATACTCTTCTATTGTATATCTTTTAGTTTGTTTTTTTAAAGCAATCATATTAGCGACTGTGGTAGCTTATTCTGCATTTTTATCACAGTAAATGATATATATTTTCATGAACATATTTTGTCAAGTGTTTTATAAATTGAAATTGATGATTTTTAGTATATCCTGCAAATGAATTGATATTTTCGGCAAAAAATAAATAATTCTCAGAATGATTCGATTTATATATTCCTTACTTTTTCAAACAACATTTTGAGTTGTTTTTCCGATTCTCCTATCCATTTGCTGAGCAAGTCGGCACCTTTCCTGAGGAAAAACGACACTTTCCTGTGACCGAAGCTGCATTCATTGGCCAATGCTCGAGCGATCATAGTTTTACCGGTACCTAGAATACAAATTTAATTAATCTCTTGCAAATTTTCCCACTTGCAATTTCACTTATGTTTTCTAGAACCAATCGGAATTGCTCGGTATCTCCTAATGAGATGACAACCACGACATCTGTTAACATACAGGGTGAGTCAATAGTGTGTTCTCCTTCGATATTGGCCAAACCATCAGATATATAGAAAACATTCAAATATAACAGTTATAGGGTTTCATGAGAACTATAACATAAAATTATTCATATATCTATGGTTTGCATGCAAAAACGGTCAGATGACCGACCCTGGAGGTGAAACGTTGAAACACCACCCCACTTTTCTTATTTGTGGACAAATGATTGAAATAGTTTTTCACAATTATTTTGGCATACGAATCGTGTTTTTCGACTATTTATTAATTCGCGCATGCCATCACATTGTGCTATTGTACAATGCACAAAAAATGCAGCGAGCGACGAAGGAATTCGGTTGGTACATTATGATTCAAAAGTAAGTACCTACTATAGTCACTCACATATAGTTTTCATTCTGAGATTTTGTAATTTCTGTAATTTCTCGTCGGAATTTCTTCTGCAATAGGAGCTAATAGAAATACTCGTGAAATTTCTAAAAGAATGCAAGACGATTGGATTCTTGCAATCAAACGGGAGGACTGGTCTGACATGCTGACGAAATATGTGTTGTGTTGTAGACATTTTCAATCTACTAGCAGTATCAGCTTCTATTGCAGAAGTGGCAGAAGGAATTTTAATAACAAATGACAAAATTTCATAAGGATAACTATGTGAGAGATTACTGTTTACCCGAAAAATCATATTCCTTCGTCTCTCGCTCCTTTTTAAGTGTATTATACAACAGCACAATGAGAAGGCATGCTTGAATTAATGAATAGCGCAAAAAACACAATCTGTACGCCAAAATATTGTGAAAAACTATTTCAATCCTTTGATTCCTCTGTAAACAAATAAAAAAGTGAGGTTGTGTTTCAATGGTTTACAGAAAAGTGAGGTTGTGTTTCAATCATTCCCCTGCAGGGTCGGTCATCGTGCACGCGACCTATACGGTGTTCGAGTCCCAAGATGTCGGCTGATGATGTTTTTTTTTTAATAGAATTATTGCATTTTTAGGTTCTCCCTGAAAATCTGATTTCATCAATGTATCATTCTTCTTCTCTCACCTGGCGGTCCGTGGAAGAGCACCCCTCTGGGCGGCTGGATGCGGAACTGGGCGAACACCTCGGGGTACAGCATGGGCAGCAGCACCATCTCCTTGAGGCACTGGATGTGCCCGTCCAGCCCGCCGACGCTGCTGAACCGCACGCTGGCGTCCAGCGTCTCCGGCTTGATGGGCACTATTTTGGTGCTGCCGCCCGCGCCAGACTTCATCTTTTCGTTCTTGGAGTGCGGGCTCTTGGGCGGCTTGCTGGAAGAGAAGAAGAACGACGTGCATAGTCGCGAGTTGAGTGAGCAGATTGAATCGAGTAATGATAATAGACCTCCAAATGGCAACCGTTTCTGGAATGTCATTCGTGGTCGAGTCACTGAATAGCTAAAAATCTCCCATGCAGTAATGAATTTGCGCCTTCGAAGTGCATAGGGTCCCTTGATGTAAATTGACGTATTTGTCATCTTAACAGGGTACGGACAGATCCTCGTCTCCTCTCACTCTAAAGTGTTTGTGATATAGTTATATATGTCCATCTTTATTCATTTCTGGAGATAAACACTAGATTTCTGACATTTGTTGTTTTTTAGGTTATATTGAGGACATTGGCGTATCATACGTGATTTCCACATGTAATTTCTCATTCAACTTTACATATTATATCCAAATGATGATAAGGAGCTATGATCTGTCCGTACCCTGTTAGATGACAAATACGTCAGTTTGCATCAAGGGACCCTAGAAGTGCCCACCTAATGTAGGTTTAGATATTTGATATTTTCATTTCATCATCTGAATAATCTGGGACCTACGAGTCCAAAAAGACGGATTCTAATAGATGCTAATAGTTAATATACAAGGTACTGACGTATAGAGTTTCATGTCTGATTGTTGGATGTTTTGTGTCCAAAGAGCAGAAAACAGAGACAAAGTAAAATGGAATGCGTAGAACTTAATGGAGAAAATAAGACAGGTGGATACACCTCCATAATGAAGGTCTGATCAATCAAAAAGTGTACCGCTATTCGAGATATGTTCGAGATAATCGGTCTCTAGGGCTGCGTTCATAAACTTACTCGAATGAGTACTCTGCTGAGTGAATTTTACTCATCAAATATGGTATTTTCAGAACCAGCTCGGCGACCCCTATCTACCATTGAAATATTTTCCTTTACCTTTGAAACACTTCGTATACAAGTTTTTTGTTCAGCAATGTATATTCATTTCTCATTTAAGATCGGAGAAGGCTCATTAAATCCACAATTTTCAACCAGTTATTTTTTTGGTTCAGCAGAAAGAGTATCAAAGAACCTATGTTTACACAAATTTGCAAAATAATATTCCAAATTTCATAGCATACTATGTTTAAATTGCAAAATATCATTATCGACTTTTTCAAAATTCGATTCCAGCGCTGAATTCAGCATTCTTCTATAAGGTTAATGGCAAAATTCAATTGAGAAACTTTGATATTCAACTAAGTTCTAACATCGATTCTCGAAACATACAATTTTTTATGAATATTTCAGATAAATTCAGAGAAGCAACATTGTCAACACAAATGTTGGAAATCATTGATGTTTCTGGTAGACATTCTAAAAGGGTACTCTTCTGAAATGAAATAACTAATCTTTTCCATAAATACCAGTAAAAATGTGTTTCATAGTTTTAAAATCATGTCTAAACATATAAAAAATAAATGATAAATACTCTACAGGGTTTTTATCAATTACCTGCAACGAACATCTGAAGAGGTGGAATCACTAGAACTATCTGAAACTTGTCGCCTCCTTCTGGTGAAATGCCTTCTAGTTCTCATTTCCATTTCTCTATTTCTCAATATTGTTTTTTGCACTGAAAAGAAAAAATGTGTCAAACAAGATACAAATGCCATTTAAGCAACAAATTAATGCAGCTAGCCAATCTTAACTGGTCGTGCTGAAGATAAAAATTACTTACTAACTTTCGGCGGAGGTTTTGGTCTTCGATCCCTTAAAGAATACTTTCTTTCTGCCTCCTCTTCCGATGAACTGGATTCTAAAAAAGAAGAGTTCATAGATAATAATGAGTTTCTCGTTGAATGATAGCCGAGAGGCAAACTGTCATAAGAGTGTACATCATATTTAAACCGAAAAAAACAAACTGAAAGTAACCAAAGTACTGAATGATGAAATGATTGAAGTTTTTTTTTTTTAAGAAGTCCATGGTAACTCAAAGTGGAGTGGTGTAGTTCATAGATGAACAGAACATTTAACAGTTGAATATAAGTTCTTGAATTGATTTAGGATTTTTTCAGTTCTTTTTTGAATTTCTCAACACTTAATTTTTTCTTCAGTCTAGCAGGTAATTCATTATAGAGAATTGCTCCATTGCATAAAATAGATCTTTTACCCATATCTGATTTAATTTTGATGAGAGTTAACATTTCAAAATTCAGATTTGAATGTTTATAATTATATTTGAGGGAATGGGTGAAATTTAATATTTTGAATTTGTAAATGGAGTTAATATCTAACAATTGCCTAGGTTTATAAAGATTTCTTGTGGGTTCCAAGTAAACTAGTTTGTATATACATTTAATAACTTTGTTTTGAAGGATTTTGATTGGCTTCATAATTGATAATCTAGCTGTACCCCAAACTGAAATCAAGTATTGTAATTTTGAATAAACCAAGTATTTCAAAGTGATTTGGTGTCTGATCCAGTAGAGTACTCCGAGATATTTTCTTTCTGATCGATTCAATATGTTTGGACCATGACAAATGTTCATCAAGGAATATCCCAAGGAAAATCTCTGGTAGTAGTCCATGCTCAAATTGGAGGTGATGAGATACTTTGAGTTTGTTCTCTTAATTATATCCCAAGGAATTTGATGGCTGTGGAATATTTGATGATTTCATTATTAAATTTGATATCAAATTTCAGTTCACTTGAGAGGCGTCGTTTAGAGATATACATGAATGCTGATTTGCTGTAATTTATACTAAATTTATTATAAAACAACCATGAAGATAAAATAATCAAGTCACTTTCAATTGCATTAACTATACTATTTGTATGTCTACTTCTTTCCTTTCCATGTAAGTCAATACTGATTTTTATAGAACTATGATACTATCTATTAGCTGATGATAGGCTTATATACATGTTCTGTTACGATTGATCATTGATCATTCTAATAAATGTTGTGGAGATGACTCTGGATTTTCATGTATGATTGAAAAGTATTCAAAATAATTTAAAAAATGGTGATGATTCAATCACTTTGATGAAATACGAAAATATACCCAGAAAACCATAATAATTCAATGTGTATTTGATTAATCAACCATTCTCAAAAACTCCACTTCAATACTTTTGATTGATGGTGAAGCATACTGATAAGACAGAAAACATAATCAACATAATCAATGATGATTTGAAAAATCCAGAATATAAGAGAGAATAATGAAAAATTACAGTATTTGAAAATCATTGATTTGTCATACAATATTATACTAACCCATCACTTTCTCTGGTCTAACAGGGCCTCCAACATGGCCTACTGCTCTCGTAGAATACATAGGGTTTGTTCTGTTGTTACTTCTAGTCCTGGTTGTTCTCAAACGGGTCAGAGGGATGTTATCCTGATCATCCTCAGTCCCACTGGATTGGGGTTGCTTGATTTCTTCATTTTCCTTTTCAGATTCAGCTAAAATCGATCACAATTTTAATAAGTCACGTCAATAAAAAAAACTCAAAAGTAAGTCTCTTCTGTTAAGGTTTTCATTGTGAAGTGCAAATCCACAGGATGATTCAGGTTTCAAGGTACAATCTGAAATGGGTGATAGATCTCATCATTTTGATCAAGAAAGTGTGTATAGATATGTGTCCGTTCTCTAGTAGCGGAGATACAGGGGGTCAAAGTTCTGAAGATATCAATTTGAAATTTGGCGTGGTCAATAGAAGATCATCATATGAAGCATTTCAATTTTTTTCAAAATCCACCGGGTGATACGTTTTTGAGGGCAGAGGGTTCTTTATCCCCCCCAAACTTTTTAGTAGTACGCCTCTGACATCTTTCAGTCAGCAAATAGGGTAGATCCTTCAATTCAAATTCTTTATCTACATCTCAATTTTTTTCAAGGAACGCACCGTTTTCCAAATAGACAAGCATATTCGTGCAATAACATGTTAATTTTGCCTATTATGATTCGCTTAATACAATAAAATGTACCAAATTTCAATCTGAATCAGTAGCGGGGACAAGGTCAGGTTGCTTTTAACCAACCAATCCAACAACAACGCCGAAAATTCTTGTTAAGCCATTGGTTAAGTCCCATCCAGTTGTATCCATATTCCTCATCCAATATCGTTTTCAATCATTTGAGAAAATAAAAAAATTAAGTAGCATTCAACTTGTCCGGAACAGTCTTCTTGCGGAATGTGATTATTTCTTTTGCGTATTCCATCATTGTTAACTAAAGTCCAAGAATAAAATTTAAAAGAAAAATATAGATAAAATCACATGTTTTGACACGGATATGCTGATTTACCTAGAAAACGGTTCGTTTCTCGGAAAAAAATGAGAAGCCAAAAGTCTCTGAATTGAACGATCCACCCTATTTGGTAACTGGAAAATGTCAGAGAAGTACTACGAAATAGTTTGATAGGGGGGGATAAAGAAGCCATTACCTCCAAAAACGTATCACCCTGTAGATTCAAAGCATTTCTGAAATGCTTAAAATGGTGAATTCCTAGAAAGTATCAACTACTCCAAATTTCAAATTGATACCTTCAAAAGTGAACAAGATATTTTAATTAATAGAAAAAATAAACTTTGACTCCTGTTGATCTGCTTCTGATCGAGATCGGACTGATGTTAATAAGAACTTTTTTAATAGAAATGATGAGACAATCACCCATTACAGTTTGTACGTCAAAATCCAAATCACCCTGTATATTTTCCACTCCATTGGGTTTACTAATAATGAATAAACATGTCCAGCAAGTTTTGGGATATATTTAAAGATACAGGGTGTAACATAAATACGTTCAAATATTAAAGTGACGTATTCCTGAAACAATTTTGAAAAAAAAAGTCTATATAAACTTGTGTCCGGAAATAGTTCATTTCGGAGATAGAAGATGTTGAAATACAGGAAACAAACCATTTTTTGATAAATTAGTAGTAGATTTCAGCTCCAGGTTGTGTTGTCTCCCGACGCGTAGCGAAGGGAGACAAAAAACCGTGAGCTAAAATCAAATATTTTTCCCGTTTATAATACACAATTCCTTTATGTGACAGGAAGAAGTACGAATCAATATTTAAAAATATTACATCATATTGAAATCAGAAAATGATCGACATGAAGTGGCCTTTTGAACAGGGATGAAATGGCAATTATTTTGCCGTCATAAAAAAATGTAGTTTATTCTGATGAGACTTACCACATAACTTAGTATTTGCAGTGTTCGCATCATCTTCATTTAGCGCCCTAGGAACTAAGTAACAGGCATGATATAGAACATTGTAAATATATTGAAAACGATCACCGCCAGAGTTGTTACTCCGAAATGGTGTGAGAATAAGGTTTCTTCATGAAAAGTACCAAAATATTACTGTCAAAAAAGTTGGGAAATAAATAATGACAGCATACGCAGCACCTTCTAGATGTCACATGAAAATTAATACGAAATGATTCCCCACGTCAAAATAACCCCGGGTACCAAATTTCGTCCAAATAACTTACGCACTATGTTACACCCTGTATATCAACAGAAAATTGTTGATCATTGAAATTTGCATGGGGTAAGATATTTTCTCAGCACATCACATTGTAGATAGTACCTCTTTCCCCATTAACTTTGGGTTCCTCTTTCTCTTCCTGGCCAGCATCTTTGTTGGATTCATCAACTTCTTCATTATTCTCTGTCTCGCCTTCTTTGTTTTCCTCATAATTGTCGGTTTTCGCAGAACTTCTGAGTCGGCCATTCAACAGGTGTTCTTTATTTTCCTTGTCGTTCGATTCCCGTCTGCGTCGGGTTTTCCTTCGACGTCTATTGAATTCTCTGAAAATTCGATAGCTATTCGTTCCAGTAGCTAAGAGGCACAACAATCATTTTTTTAATACTTTAAAATAATGTTTGAGATTTTTTTTGGTCAGTTCATTGTAAAAAAATTATTGAAAACGCCAAAATGAACTTGTGACGTCAGTGCGAGAGTAATTCGGATTGGTAATGTTCTCACCTTCTCACGGATGCCAATAAAATGCACAATGGACTTGACGATGATGCCAATTTGGACAGAAAGCTATGATTAGTCGGATATTCATTTACGATTTTTTCATTTCAGTAAATAATAGAGATGCTGTTAAATAATTAATAATACCTACCTACCTACCTGAAAATTCGCGGTACTGAAAAATTGAACTGCATAATTAGTTAGATGGTTGTTTTCTGTTGGTGAATTATTCAAAATTGTAATTGAATTTCAATTTTGTATTGAATTACAGTGCAGATATTCATGACATTCAGTTTCTAATCCCTGCCAGTAAAGTACTTTCAAGTTTAGGTACTCAGCTATACATATACGTATCTACCTATACCTACCATAGGGAAAGGTATTTTTACTTGGCAACATTGTGTTAGCGCCGGTTGCTTCATCTCTTTCTCTTGTAAACATATTTGCTTCATTAGCAATTAAATTGTCCGGGAATGAGTACTTGAGATATAGTAACACTGTTCAACTTATTGATAATAAAAATTAGTCAACAAAATCATAACATCGTAAATCGAACCAAACCATATGAAAAGCGTCTTACTGTCAGATGCCTGCATCACATTTTATCCTAGCTAATCTTGAAACTAATGCATCACAGTGACGTCACCCACAACACATGATATTTCTTCCTTCTTTATATTGAGAAACTACGACTACAACGAAAAAAGCGATAGCTTAGTGGTCAGTGTATCTGACTTCCACGTTGGTGACTGGGGTTCAATCCCTGCAAGGCGTCAATTTTTTTTTTAATTTTTTTCACTCAATTAATTTTTCAAAAATATACTTTCCAGGAAAAAGGTTCATTTAGGACAAGTTAGGTTGAAAGTACCTTCCATTTTCATGCAGAAGAGATATTTTCCTTCCTCATATTACCTTATTAGTCTTATAAACACGAATACCTTTCTGATAACCTTGAAAGATTCGCTGGTCTGGCTAGACGCTTGTAGCTTGAAACCATCGAAAGCATGCGCAGTTCCACAGAACATGAAAAATGCCAATAGGTTTGTGAAACTGCACATGCTCTTGATGGTTTCGGACTGTTTATTTGTAGAACGAGAACAAACCTACAATAATTTTCAAAAAATATTACTTGTCTGCTTTCGGTTTCAGTTGAAAACTTGATTTATTGATGAAAAGATAGATTAGCTGCTGACATTAACTGAAATTGGCACATCGCCTATGCAACAAAACAAAGTCATCTATCAACATACCTATAAAAAACGGTGCGATCACTCGCATTACGCACACGTGCGTAAGAGGAAGCTTACTGGCATTGTTTTGTGTACAATATTCATCACTTAAAATAGTAGTCATAGGGAAAAATAAATATCCACCACATTCCATTACCTTTGAGGAACACCTTCTGTTTCATAATCGTACAAGTACTTGGAACTCTGGACATTCCTGCCTCGTCTCGTGACCCTTCTGGTCATCTCCAGTTCCGCGTGCACCGCATCGACAGCGTCTCGGCTGTCTTCTTCCGAGTAGCCAGCATTGAGGTTAGGGTAGCCCACCTTGTGCATCTGGCTGTCGGCCAGCCATGACAGGTTCGAGCGCTTTCGTTTGCTCCGCCTAACGCCACCTGTCATCCAGAATGATTTATATGTGCTAGTCGAGGACTTTATGTGTTCATAAACTCAGAGCAATCTTAACAGGCGAGGCTGAAATTGTTGCTTTTTGGGTGCTGATTATTAAAAATTTCCATTTGAATCGAAATTTAAACCTCCATAATATATGTAGAAATATTTTATGTATGAAGCATGTTTGATTCCAACACGGCTTTCGTTTCATTTTCGATGATCTGTCAGCCTACGTAGGACAGTACAAAAAATATGGCAGCGCTTACCTGTAGAGCACCCTGTATAGGTATTTAGGATCAAGTAATTTGAGTGACAAAGAAGCGAATAGTTTCAACGAATTTGGAAGGGAGTTGAATGATCTTACAGGATACCACTCTGTATGACCAAATCTAATAATTGTAAGAGCTTTTTAAATGGTGAGATTTAAAATAGCTTATCTCAAGGATGGCCACTATTTCTTCCAAATAAAACTCACATTTTCCAACTAATCCAACTTTAATTTATTCCAACTTCACTGGTACATGGTTTGATCGAGAGAGCGCGAGAGCGATCTTCCTTCCTTTTTATTCAATACATGACGTACCACGAGCAAACAGAATATTGACATAAATTAGCGCCAAATTTGAATTCCAATATATTGAGATAACAACATTTTAGTCTTTATATGTTTTATTTTGTGAATGTGCATAACTTTTTATGCCCACTGAGGGTTTAATCATTTCCACCAAAACGCGAGTGCTGTTAGTAACCAAGTAGGTTTGTAGCACGTTGTAGGGGTCCGATCAGCAGCAACGAAATTTGGTCTACTACTCAATTTTTCGTTTAAACATGGGTTTATAAAACAATCTGACTGCACGATTTTTGGTATACTTTTTGATGAACCTCAAATTCTAGTGACATCACTTTAATATCTATGTCAAAACATGATCCAGTGTATAGGAAAACAAGCACAAGTGAGTCTTGAACTATCTTGCTCTTGAAATTAGTTAAATCTTGGAAGCCATAAATGTTAGAATATACAAAGAAGTGAAGAATCGGTGAACCGGCAACGCTGTTCATCTCGTCTGATCTCTCACAGCTGGATCATTATTCATGAGGAACTATGGAATATTTGATTTTTAAAACTGTATGTATTTTCACGAGTTTAATGTGTATCTGGTTTTTTTCTGGTAATCCGTTTTTCTATTGGGATGCATTATTGAAATTGGAAAGGTAGTTTGAGAACTCAAAAACATGAATTACATCAATGTGACGAGTGTGATTTTATTTATCTTACCTTCACTATCAGAGTTGAAATGCAGAGGAGAATTTGGATCTGCATAAGATTTCTGACTTATCGGCCTTAGAGATAATGCGGAACGTCTCTGCATCCTGCTCATTCTTATTAGATGTTTGGATCTTCTTCCCCTAAAAAAAATACATTTATATTGAAAAAGTATACTTGACTGAAGAACGAATTCCATTTCCATTTCATTAATAACACAGTACGGAAGTTTGGAGCATGAAAACTCAATGTTTTCGATAAAATAATCGGATAATACCTACCTAACTGTGTATATCTCGTCCTCAGAATCTTCAGAATCATCATGCATTTTATGGGAATAAACAGCTAATGATCTTCTCTCATCTAAGGATCTTCTATTATGGTTGCTACCAACTGAATGAGCTAGACAAAATGAAAAAATATCAGTACCTTAATAATTTAGGTAGATCCAGGGTTATTATAATATAATTATTATGTATATTATACTGATAGCGTACAGTCACACTCTGACCTAACCCTTCATCCTAACATTCCAAACGTGTTGACATCTGTCATTTATAGACTGGCCGGCAGTTACAGATTTTTGGCAATGTTTTTTTATGTATACAACTCTCAAGTAATGATTTTCATGGATTGTCAACATGTCTTCGACAATTATCAATTTGTGCACGCATGCAGCGGCGTCACCAATCAAATTTGAATTTGCATTGAAAATTGATGATTTGGAAGAATTAGTGAATACATGCACATTGGTTCTTGTTGACATTTGAAAAAAATGATACCGGGAAAAAATGCGCATACTTTGCCCTCGTGTAGGGTAGGAAGACCATATACGTATTAATAATCAATACGGTAATCTGTATCTGTTTCCATAGCGAAACATGAAGCCGATTTTTGAAGACAAATGACTATCCATAAGGAAAAGTTTTGAATCGATCAGACACATACTGCTTTGATTGAAAGGCTAGTAAACGTCATTGTCCACCGAAACGCATGTCTTTGATGACTACTATAATAGCGCATGGCGCATGCGTATCATGCCACTAAATCCTTATGGATATTCATTTGTTTCATATTTTTGGCTTCATCCTGGCACCAGTTATGATCCGTATTGTTTATTAATACGTATATGAGGAAGACCCGAAACTGAACATGTCTCAGTCTCACCAGAGGGCGTTACTAAAACATGAGGTCAATGTCAAAGTCAAATATCCCAAAAATTTGTCTATCAGACCAATATCAGACAAATATATGTACTGCAACTCCAACTACCATGAAGGAAAACGAACAGATGCAATTCTAGATTGAAATCAGTGGCGTTACCAGAGGAGGGGGCAGCCCTACCCCCCGAAATTCACGTTAATGAGAAAGTAACCTAGTGAATTCAAAAAATTCTGAATTGTACGTCCGCACATTAGGAAATTCATACAACGCTGGCAACAGCGGTGACAACCGCTATTATTGCACAACATCCTAAAATAAAAGTAGAAGATGAGCGTAAAACAAGTTTAGCCCTAATGAGTATTCATCGTAATATTCAATTCGAAACTAATGAAATTATTGATATATTTCGCCAAACCAATCGAAGAATTGAACTTTAGATGTATAGACCGAAATATATAATTATTTGCTATTTTATTAGTATTTGGTTTCATTTTATGGTCCTCTCCCCCCCCCCCCCCCCCCGGAATATATTTCTGGCTACGCCACTAATTGGAATTTTGATGTTCAATTTTTTTTTATCTCATGGAGCATACGAAAGGGAATCCCTATAATGTTCAGTAGGAATAATAATTATCCTTTTGGAAACTATCCAGATCAAAAGGAACAAATAAAATTTTAGATTGGAATCTTTGATGTTGATTCTTTGGTTCGAACAATAACTAATCCAATAGCTTCTTATATGTCTATTTTCAGGAAATCGTTTGTGAGAATTGATATCACCTAATTTGCCCACATATACATGGTGTCCAGAAATTAGCCTGCCAAACTTCACCAGCCGCTTCTACGACCAAAAATAGGAAGAAAAGTTTCAATGAACATGAGTAGGTAAATGTCTCCCAAGGGAGCTACGGCTAATTTCGGGACACCCTGTATGTTATCCACACTACATTTCATAACGGGCAACTTTGAAAAACTTGTAGAAAACTCATCAGATGAGATGAAAGAAAAGGAATGGATACATACACATTAACTTACATACCTTAGGAAGGAAGCAATGTCAAATCCTCAAATAAATAATTTCAAAAATTGTTGATTTGTCATTTTGAGTTGTGCTCAGTCAAAATTAGAATTTTTTCAAGTAGGTACCAACTTATGAACTAACCATTAAAATTTCTGCCTGAGAATCCAAATCTTCTACTACGTAGTTGTCTGGAAGGTAGTGAGGTGGAAGATTCGATAGGTTCTTTAGGCTTCAATGGCAAGTTGAAAGAGGAATCTTTGGCAGTAGAATCTTCACTGTCACTATCTTCAACTGTTGAAGATCTGCTTCCTTCCTCCTGCTCTGGTTTAATCAACCTAAGGCTCCCCTGAACATGGTATGTTGATATAGTAGTTGCTTTATATCTAGTAATTATAATTATAGTAGATATGATTTGAATATGCCATCAATTTTCAAATACGAAAATATACCCAAGAAAACAAATTTGGAAATGCTCGAATACCTATTTCAGTGAGTTGCCATATTCAGAAGACCTGAGAAAGATATTTCTAGTCTTGTTCAGTTTTTAATACTATTGCAATGGTAACTTGACTGCCGAAATAATAATATGTAATCCACAAGCGAATAACAGGAGCCCTCATAAACTATACCTGAAAGGTTTGTAAGAAATGATACCATAGACTTCTATACCAAAATCTGTTTAGCCGTTACAGGGCATCGACATTGAATTTTATTTTTTATCTATCTAACAATCAGGTTCTACTAGGGAAATTGAAAAGAGAAAGAGCAGAATATATGTCTTATTCTTTTATTCACTCAATCCATTGTAATATAGAAAATAGAAGAGGAAAGATGTTCAGCTATGTCCAAACTATTTATCTACTGATACCATCCAGTGACTCTAGTTTAAAAACGGAGCGTTTTGGTATAGACATGGTGGAAATATAATATGGTGTGCTACTCATGCGAGTCTATACTCTCAATTGTTTTACTCGCAGTGACGTATACGAAGATGCCTTGTAGCACACCATCTCAATTTGGTCTCAGGAGTCTGTGGTCTGTGGTATCATTTTGTACAGACCTTTCAGGGACACTCTTAGGAAGTTTAGCAACACAAACGAAACGAACACAATGCAACAAGTCATCAATGTTTAACCTGTGTGTATATAACCCGAATATTCCAAAGTACTTATAGTAATACTACTGACAATACTGCATTGTCATTTGTCCTCGATAATTTACAATGAACTGTAGGAACAAAACTTTAAATAAATAGTAAATACTAAACTGCATAAATAACAAACAATAAGATTCCAAACTAGTTTGACTCACCTGCGTTAATTATTTTCTTATTCTAATATGTGAGATGATTGAATCAATAATAAAGATTATTTATTATTATTGGGGTGAATAAAAACTGCCCCGTTCATAAATATAACAAAAACAATAAAATTCTTAGGTTATAGTTCGGTGATGACACCAGATACTAGCGTCTATTGACAGGACGCAACAAATAATCCGTGCGAACATTTCCGACTCCTATGAACACAGTGGATGTATGATGTATATGTGTAGAATTACTTTGACTCGTTGGACGACTCGTCTTTGCCTCAAATTGGTGGAAGCCAATCATTCAAACAAACCGGATTATATCGGCTTGTTTTTATAATTTTCCCCAATAAGTTTTCATAGAAAATGAAAAAAATTATCAATAACATTTGTAGGACTAACAAATTCACTGTCTTTACTGACAAAATTGCATTAGCTCTTTATTTGAATGTTACATCAAATTACTTTCAAGGAATATTATATCAATGAGACCAAAAAGAATTACATTGTACCCGATTAAGTTTTCAGTTATTCTCATATTAATTTTATATTTGCAAAAACATGTGATCAATCTGGAATACAATAAACAATAAGTGATGAAGATTGGCGATTTCTGAATAGGTAACTGAAAATGTCTCATTATGATGGTATTAGAATTTATCATGTGCAATGTGCTAGTCTTTGTAAATCCATTGTCAATCTAAATGAAAACCTAGTAGGCGACCTAGTACGAGGAGGTGAAACAAACACAAACAAATTTACAGCCATAAATACTGTTCATAAAACCTACAAATAATACAAATACATCAATTATTCAAGGGCTTTTCAAGGGAAATGATTATTCAAATTATGGCCTTGAAATCAGATCAACGGAAATGAATTTTGGTTGATATCAATATGAACAGTTGACACCTGAAAAGCCTTCAAATATAATAACAGTAATATTGGTGTCAGGAAAAAGTTTAGCAATTTATCCGCTTTCAAACAAAATACAAGAACTTGTTGGAGCTTGACAAAAGAGTGAAATCATGTTTTCTAGGATTCCAATTTGATTTAATCCTTGCTCATACAGTGACTCTAGCTCATCCTAGTGCATATTGAAGAACTGTTGATGTTTTTGTTGCTTTTATTGAAATTATTGTCACCATAACCTACCCTAGTCCGATGTATTGGACCTGGGGGTGAACCATTAGAATCCTTCCTACGGGTGTTCACCATCACACAGTTCACTGGGATATCAAATCATCAAATTATTACTTCATCAAAACAGCAATTTTCTAGTTAATTTCTAATGACGTTATTGATAAGTAGTGAATAATTATGAACATATCGAAAAAAATATCGACAGCCATACCACATTTTTTCTAGAAAAACATTCTTTATGACAAAAACCCAATATCCTCAACTTTCTTCAATCAGTTTATATCAAGAAAATCTGAGGATGATTTCTATCTCCTGATATACATCATCAACATTTTGATGCATTATGTAAATAGGTAGAAATATTGGAAATTAAGTGTCCATCTTCAGTATGCTTGAAAATAGTGAGGATGGCTGAAATATCTACTTCTTATATCATTTGGATATCCTCCTGAAACTATCACTGGTGGTTTACATAATATTTAATGTTCAGAAGAAAGAAGATAGCTAACCTTAGTAGCAACTTGTTTTTTTGATATATCCTCGGGTCTTATCTTTAGTGAGTCTTCCCTAAATATCAATAACGCCTTTTTCTAGTAAGAAATCTCGTGAACTATGAAAATAAAATGACCATACAACCCACTGAACACAAAATAATAAGATGCTTTAGTCTAGCAAAACAATTTGTTAGAGCATGCAAATAGAAAAGTGATGAAGAAAGACTCATGAAACCATTTGGTTGAATGATGTGATCGAGAATAATAATAATAATAAGTCATGGAAACCATCCATTTTTCTCAAAATGGTCCAGAATTTTTCAAAGAAAAAGACAAAAACCCAAAGTCGGTGGAACAAAATTATATTCAATTAATAAGCGTGGAGTGTAATTAGTTTCGGCATACGGCCATCATCAGACACAATACAAGTACCAAATCTTTCATAAGAAAAGACATGGTTGTTCAGTGGATACAAAGATTGATTATTCCTATCAGGACTGTTTTTCCGGCTGAAAACTTCTTTTTACATAATGTCATTTCTTAGGACTGAAGACAATGATGATGGTTAAAATGGTTAAATACATCTCTGTATTTTCATCATGATCTCTGTCAAAACCATCAGAGATCCTTGGGGCTTGGGTCTATTGATATTAATTATGCTTTGTTAGTCCTTGAGAGAAGCGTTTGATAAATCATTTTTCTCATTTATTGCATAATAACTGGCAAAATGATGAATCATAAATTCAAGATAATGAATAATACATCAATCACAACATCAACTATCAATTATGTAGTACCTTGGGTAGTACTTCTGTACGGTGGTAGTACTTGGGAAGTAATCAACAAGGATAGAGTGTGAATAGTGGGATGTTTATACACAATAGGCAGTAAAAGAAAACCAGACCAGACTCCAGACTTTCATTTTCTCAATTAACACAAAATTATTGAATGTTAATTAACCATAGTGTTTAATACATTATTTATTCAGTAGTTGAGAAAGTAATGGTTTGGTAATTTTTAAAGGGCAAAGTTGAATAATATGGAAGCATAAAGGAAGACATTTTGTTGGAAAATATAATGAAAGAGCAATGATGAGCCATTACAATCTTCTACATTCTAGACTATTCTAAAGGATTCAAATTTCAAAACATTACTTACAGATGGGCGATTTTGAGAAAACAAAGATGGATAGGAAAACATGCAACGAACAATATAATTATATGGCCCCTTGATCAAATGCATGCGAAGCGAAAACTGGTCAGCGAACGCAGGAACGAATATATATATTAAACAGATATTTTGTTTCATAGAAGACTTACCAAACTCTTAAGAACGAACCCTGATATCTAAGTAATTCACTGGAAAAATCACAAACTAAAGTTGTTTGCCCACCATCGATAAGCACTTCCCTTTTACAATTTACGAGTTTTTAGTTTTACGAAATAATTCGTTGCCAGTGTTGCCACTTGCCACTTGCCAGTTGCAACAACTTGATAATTTGCAATGACGGCTAAATATCTAGACTGTCTGACTATTTTGTACCAAAATCATCCGTAAATTGTACCAGATTCATACGAAAGCACCCTGGTGTCACGCACACTTTTCTTTTTTTGAAAACTCATTCTAATGACTTTTTTCTCATTATAATGAGTTTTTTCTCATTATATTGACTTTTTTCTCATTATATTGACTTTTTTTTCATTATAATGAGTTTTTTCTCATGAAAATGAGTTTTTTCTCATTATAATGAATTTACTTTCTTTCTTCGGAGTCTTCTCCTGCTTCTAAGACTAACACGTACCAATGGGGTCCAATTCTTTCAATATAATTCTCACACTTCTATTCGTAATTACAAATTCTTGCTGGATGCATTTCAAATGCATCCATCGATAGCCGTGTAACTGTCCGTACTTCTCAACTTGTTCGGCTATAAAATTCAAAACTTCTGGTAAGGGAGTAAAATATTTCTTTCTGTAGAGGCCCATTATCTTCAATATTCGTTTAACTGTTGATAAACTTATACACTGTTTATGATATACCGTCAGGAAAGCCATAATTTCTTCGCAACTAAGACCCAATAAAAAGTAGTATACATCCATTTTGATATAAATCATAAGAAATCTAATTAATAATGATAATCTAAACCAAAGAAATCATGTTTACACAGAAAATATAAAGGCGAATAATAATAAAGTCATTATACCTATATAATGAGAAAAAAGTCATTATAATGAGAAAAAAGTCAATATAATGAGAAAAAAGTTATTATAATGAGAAAAAACTCATTATAATGAGAAAAAAGTCATTATAATAAGAAAAAATTCATTATAATGGGAAGAAATTCATTATAATGAGAAAAAAAACTTATTTTAATGAGAAAAAACTCATTATAATGAGAAAAAAGTCATTATATTGAAAAAAAAAGTCAATTTAATGAGAAAAAAGTCATTATAATGAGAAAAAACTCATTATAATGAGAAAAAAGTCATTATAATGAGTTTCCAAAAAAAGAAAAGTGTGCGTGACACCAGGGTGCTTTCGTAGATTCATCATACTAATCTCAGACGAATTAATGCACCTTACCCACCAAGCGCAAATTTCAGAATGGACCGTGGACCGTGGTAAAAATTAATATACTTATTTATATTATTATACCTGTAGGTTGCATCACCGTTTATCAGTTTTTATCAGCTAAAGGTCGCTAAGACATAATAGTAATTTATGTACAAATTTAATTCCCTCGGGTGAATGTAACCCTCTGGGCGTTAGGATCTAGCATTACATTACAAAATCTAGTGAAGCTGTGCATACAAAATTTTATTCTTCACGAAATAAAACATTTATTATGAAGTGAAATCGATTCTTAAAAGTGGTTCATTGCTCCTAGCATTTTCTTTCCATTTTTTCACGTTTGTTGAATATTGCTGTCATTATTTAATTCAGTGATTGTCATTGCTGCTTTTTTTGTGTAGTCTTATAGAAATAATGGAAATTAATACGAATTCACCCAAGAATATCATAAAAATGCAGACAAAGCATCAATTAATTTATTGCCAGAGAAATCCAGACTCGTGTATATACAACTAGGATTATGAAGTATTCGATCAATGGAAAGTTGAAAAATGAAATTATTGCCATAGAATAGATGAGACCGTGTTATTAACGTACTTTCAAGAATTGGTGTTATTTTATGAACTACAGAAAAAAATTATGGCGGCTAAATACCTAGACAGTCTGATATCTGGTGTCAAACCATCAAAATGTCAAAATTTGGCTTGTGTTTTGTGTCGTTTGTCGTTTTCTGTCAGAAAACTAAAAAACAATATGGTGGTTGCCGAAGGAATAATAATATCAAAAAATTGAGATCACTAAACAGTAAGTAAATGATTCGTCAATGTGTTGTTGAGTAATAAATACTCTGCGTGGTAATTTAATGAAGTGTTGTGATGAACGGGATGCTGCCGTCGTTCACACCCCCAGTGGTTAAACGACTTTTGGGCTGGAAGAAAGGTACAGACGCAGATGACAAGTGGTGCGAGAAAGCAGTCAAAAGTTTGGTGAAAAAATTAAAGAAATCTGGAGCCTTGGAAGAGCTCGAGCGAGCTATTTCCTCGCAGAATCCCAACACCAAATGTGTAACTATTCCAAGGTGGGTACTGCATCTCCTGCTCATTGTTTTCCATCCTCCCAGCTTCCTCCATAACCATGCCATAAATTGAAGTTTAAGGTCATATTATGGATTCGCGTTCCCCGCTCCTCGCCTCGCTATGTCTGATGTGTGACTTGTGACCTACCCTAAATGTCTGCAAAATGTCCTGTTCAGCGCATATCTCACTAATTTCTCGATTTCTAACGGATTTATTCAGATTTTAGGCCTTTGTTTCTTTGTTTATCACATTTTCAACTTGTTCTGTAGCAAAATTAGTGTTTTTTATACAATAGAAGGTGCATAGAATAGCATTATTTATTTATCTGTGTGATGTCATCAGAAATAGTATTTTGATAGGTTTGTTTGAGTATCATCAAACAACATGAAGCATAATATTATTCATCATTCTTTAATTGGTACTTTGAATATAATTATGAACAAATGATCAAGATGAATTAACACTTTAGTGTAGTTTTGGAATTTTGCTGCATTATGTAAAACATAATTTTTTGTTTTATTACCCATGAATAATTCTTCTACAATTTCATATGTTTTAATAGCTTTTTAATTTATATTGATTTTCTGAAGTACATAGAAGTTCTAGGAGCTGTTGTTTTTTAGAGTTCGCCCTAATGCAGAATTAGGCAACCTTCAACAACAACGTAAAGGTTTACCTCATGTAATTTATGGTCGCCTCTGGAGATGGCCAGAACTACAGTCCCACCATGAGTTGAGATCTCTGGATCACTGTGAATATGGCTATATATTGAAAAAGGATGAAGTCTGCATAAATCCTTATCATTATACCAGAATTGAGAGTCCAGGTAAGAATTCTTCCACTTGGAGTGAATCAGTTCTTCATATACTTTTGTGTGGGTCAGCTATAGAAGTTGGTAGGTATACATCTTGAATTTTCAGCTCTACCTGCTATTCTAGTACCTCGTCACACATTAGGTGATGAGAACAATATTTATGCACATTCACTAGATGATCTGAGCACTTCTGTACCAGAAAATACTTCATTTCCTCATAACCCAAATAGCTTAGGGTAAGTTGGTACTGGTCCATGTTTAGCTTTTCAATCATTTGGAGTGATTATTTTAAATGTTTCAGTTTACATCTTCAACATCCCACAAGTTACATGGATGTGGGAATATGTCCTTCAACCAATATGGAATCACCTCATAGCATAGCACCCCCAACAGAAACTCCACCCCCAGGGTACATGTCAGAGGATGGTGATCCCCTTGATCCCAATGATAATATGAGTAAGAATACTTCTCCTGTTTTTCAACTATTTTTTCTATCATTTGTCATTTCTAGGTATGTCACGGATAACACCCAGTCCACCTGTTGATGCTCAGCCAGTGTTGTACTGTGAACCTGCCTTTTGGTGCAGTATCAGTTACTATGAGCTGAACACTAGAGTTGGGGAGACTTTCCATGCTAGCCAACCCTCCATTACTGTGGATGGGTTCACTGATCCCAGTAACTCAGAAAGGTACATTTGAGAGACAATCCATGAAATTCAGAGAATTTCACATTTTAAACAGATTCCTATGTTATTTATTAGTTATATAGTATAGTGCAATGTTGAAAATATGACAGATAATAACAGGGTATTTTAAGTTTACAAATTCACAATAGCCTAGCCTATTTATAATTCATTAATTATTTCAAGGAATTTCAAGCATATTATTCATTTTTGGGTTAGGAATACTACCCTGAAAATCCCCCATTCTTGCAAATTCCTACCTTAACTGATTCATGTTCTTCTTTTGAATGTTCATCAGATAAAATTCAATGTTCGACGAGGCAAATAGCCAGGAAAGTAGTTGTTTTCTGTTGAATATTCAGAATGATGTGTGCATATACATATTTTTGTCTGAAGGAGAATGCAAATTCTCAATTTCAGAAGTTTTTAGTTTTTATTTTCAAACTCTTATCATGTGTGTTCAATAGATATAATTCAATGTTCATCGTGGCATATAGCCAGGAAAGTAGTTGTTTTCTATTGAATCAACTGAGAAAGAGTAAATATTCTCATCACATAGAGAATGTGAATTCTCAATATATTGCTTTATATAAATATATCATTTTTTTATGTTCATAATTTATCTGAGAATATTACTTTTCAATAAATAAACAAAATATGATGCACCTGGTTGGAGAAAAAAAAATTAATTTGGGGTTAATTGTTGGTGTTTATTTTTTCTGCAGGTCAGTGTATAGACAATATATTTTTTTTGAAATTCAATCAAAGTTGATTTCTGTTCAAGAAACTGGCTTTCTGTTATAATGACAACTATGGCATTTGTATACAAGAATGTAAAATAAAAACTTCTGATATACATAAAAATGCATGGGAGCTTCATTTCAGATATACAGAGCTTCAATGTTTGCACAAACCCAAAAGTGTTTTATCCTGTAGGTATTCAAGAAGGCTCCATAGCTGCACATATTGCATTCCTAAAGTGTACCAGGTTTATCAAATTTCAATTTATTATTTTGAAAAATTCTCAAACTTTGAAACCCTGTATATTGGAAATGAAGCCCCCATGCATATATGTTCTCATGAGGTTATCACCTTGTAGAAATGTGTGCTTTAAGCTGTTGAAATCCTTCTACAAAATACGGACGTGAAAAATAAAGGATTATTAAAAGTAAATTATTTTTGGCATCTATCTTGAAACCCATAAAGTTTTTGAAAAAATAAAAGGGAGCAAAAAGTATCCAAACTGAAGGAAAATTTGAATTGATGTTTCATAAAAAAACAGGCAGTATGCAAAAAAGTTCCAGGGGGTTAACTCAGTTATGACCCTCAAAAAATATTATGTTTTCAAAGTGTAATAGGTGTATCAAATTTCAATTTATTATCTTGGAGATTGTAGGAGGAAATTGGAAAAACAAAAAAATCTCCCAGGCATATACCTACACTTCCCTCCAAATATAAAAGTGAAAAAGTGATATGTCAAATGGTTTTGAAGAACTGGGCAAGAAACATTTCAAAATTTTTGAATGAAACACCCTGTAACTCAGATAGGAGACATATTTTATCTAGGTGATATGAGTTAAATCTTCATATTTTGAGTTCGGGATTCTATGGTTGAAATATTTCCAATTAGTAATGAAACACCCTGTATGTTTACATAGAATTTTTATCTTGAAAAAAATGTCTTCTCTCAGCTGTTGAAGTCCTGCTGCAATAAAATGGACTCACCTTGTACATTGACTAACCTAGAAATGTACACCAAGTTATTTTTTCTAGAAAATGTGAATCTTTTTTAGGCATATGTCTGCAAAACCTTCATAATTAGTGATATTACTTTTATTTCCCATTTGTAGGTTTTGTTTGGGTTTGTTATCAAACGTAAATCGTAACACAGTGGTGGAGCAGACTAGAAGACACATAGGAAAGGGAGTTAGACTGTATTATATAGGTCAGTATTTTCTTTTTCAAGTTGAAACATTGGTTGAATATTTTTTTTTTTAGGTGGAGAGGTTTTTGCAGAATGTTTGAGTGACTCCAGCATTTTTGTACAATCACCAAACTGTAACCAGAGATATGGTTGGCATCCTGCTACAGTTTGCAAAATACCTCCAAGCAAGTATAATAGAATAATCATTTTTTCTGTGACAGGAAAAAAGTTTGACATTTCATCTCTGTTGACCAGTTACTTTTCATAAATTACTTTTTTCCCACCGGAAAAATTTCCGGATATACAGGTGCAATGTTTCCAAGAAAGAACTGAAAGTCCTTTTTACCTTCCATTCCAATTCGTGGTTATGTAATGTAATGAAATGTAATCAACCACTAAAATCGCAATTTTTTAAAATCAAAACAAAACTGAATTGACAGATATTTGATTACTTCAGAAGGTTTCCATAGCAACAATTAGGATGCCTACAAGAAGATGCCTGCAACACAGGTAGTACACCTGTTGAAAACTTCAAATTTCACATCCATAATTCTCTCATTTTGTTATAATGTAATATCTTCTTTGAATCCTTGTTTTTTTGTCACAGAAAAAAATTGTGTACTATACACAGGAAAAATATTGAATTTTAACTCACGGTTTGTTTCCCGACGCGTGTTGAAATCTATTAAGGGAAGAATAGAGGGTAGGTAGGTATTTAGGTTCTTGGAAGTACTTCCCTAGATAAGGAATTCCAAAGCTCTGCTGAGTTTCGGCGAATATTTGTTCAACATATCTGGAGATTGTCGATCTGTTGGATATTGTTTTTATTGATTACTCTTCTGTCCATATTCAGTTGTAAATTTCTCTTAAGAACAATTCATATTTTTGGAAATGTTCCATGAAAAAAGTGAACTGAACTTGAAAATTCTGAAGAATGGAATCACAAATAACTAATAACAAAATGATTCAATCCATTGAATTATTATTAAAATTATTTCATCAGAATTCGGAATATCTGAAATTACAACCAGGTTGTTTTCTAGGTTGTAATTTGAAAATATTCAACAATCAGGAATTTGCTGCACTGCTCTCACAATCTGTGAGTCAAGGATTCGAAGCTGTTTATCAGCTGACGAGAATGTGTACAATAAGGATGTCATTTGTAAAAGGATGGGGTGCAGAATACAGGTAATCATCAAACTAACAAAAACTGAAAAAAAAAACCGTTCTTTTGAATGAATGATATTTTTCAATATGCAAAAAAGACGGAAGAAACCTGACTTTGATGAATCCACAGATTAACAAATAACTATTTATTTATATTTTGCATGATGTTTTATTGTTTGGGTAACTCAGTTTCCTACAAATGGTACAATTTACAATAATAAAAGTATGAGAGATGAATGAAAAAGTTGAAAAATATTAGTGAAATGATGATGATGTTTTAAATCAGAAAGCAATTCAGAATCGTGAGTAATTCAGAGGGCATCATCTGTAATTCAGATTGTTATCAAGAATTCATCAATTCAAATTCAAATCAGTCAATAACCCAGTCAATTACTGTGATTTGAAGATGTAATGAAGTTGTTGAAGTTGATATTTTGATTTCCATACTATGTTGATATCCTGTCACTATTTTTTTATGCATTGCATGTACAGGGTAGGGAATACTCAATGGAAGTATTCTGAATTAGATTGGATGCTTCCAAATTCTAGTTGACTGATCTGAATATTGAATTTTTTGAATTTTAGTTAGAAACATGTAGAAACAATGTGAATGATATATAAATACTGCATTTTGCACTGAAATTTTGTAACTCAAGTCCATCATAAGTAATTTCGTTTCATTGAAAATGTGTGTGAATATATACATATATTCTTTTCAAAATAATGTGGTTGAAATCTTTGAATTGATGAATCATGATTTACATTTAATACAATCAATATAATGAGTAAAAGTTGGAATCGAATCTATTCACATAGCCAAAGCCAAGGTCATCATCTGACATTGCGATGACATAAAAAGTACGGAGTTAGGAATGTTTTCCCGTAGTTTTCATGTCATCGCAATGTCAGATGATGACCTTGCGAATAGCGTTTTGAAACCAGCATATTTATTATTCTATTCAATATTACAAAAAGCCAGATTTGAAGGTGGAGCCGTGACGTATCAGTCCTGAACTATAGCTATCTCTCTCTGATATCTTGCCATTCTGCAGTTTCGCATTGTGATTGGCCCGCTCAAGGACAATAGGCGTGTCGGGACTAATACGTCACACCAATGAATTGACACCATTTCAAATGGCACAAGAAGGGTGTGATTCGACATTACCATAATTTCATCTCTCAAAATTGGCAAGATATCATCAATATGTCTAGATCTCCGGAAATGGTTCTTTGAATGCATAACTATATCATAACAGCAATGGGATATGATAGGTTCTTCAATCCTACTTTGTCAAGTATTATGAATAATTCCCATAAATCTCTCATTGGCTGAATGAAGTTGATTACTAATAAAGATAAATTATGATATGTTGCGATAGTATCTGTAATTTTTCACCATCGTTATATTACAATATGATATTCATAACTTGTCAGTCATTTTTCTGCTAGAGATTTCGTTCCTTGATAAAACGGATCTATTTTCTAGGAAAGTTGCAGACTATATTTTGCAACAGCGCCTAATACTTCGAGTCCGTCCACGCCACTAAAAATACTGACAGACACAACAAGATGAAGGAGCCATGGGTGTCGGCTTCATTCTGTTCTGACCGATGGCAGTAAATCAGGAAGGATACTATCATTGAATGTAGCTGCTAGTGCTTCATTGATTCAATGATATTTCCGTTTAGGATCTAGCTCTATTCAGATATTTCAATGCATAAATAACAAAACCATAATCTGTCAGAATGAAGCCAACTACCATCTTAATTCCTGCTCCGAGTGTTTCTGGTCATGTATGTTTTTGTTTACCAGTTTTACTTCTTCTATTTTTTCATTCCTTAGCTATTCGCTAGCTATATTCTTCACCATCAGCTATTTTCAGACTGGATTCAAATGTATGTCATAGTTTGCCGCCGCGAAAATTGCTTTAATTTGAAAATCAAAACCCTTGGACTCTATCGGTCGCCATTCTGTACAGCGTGGACATAAAACTGGAGAATTCCGAACTTATTTTATGAAAATTCATCTGAAGGAAACTTCCCCTACAATCTACATTATGACTTGTCACAAACATCTCTAAAAAATTGTAATGTGATGAAATAAATCTATTCTATTTTATTCTGTAGGAGACAGACAGTGACATCGACACCATGTTGGATAGAGCTCCACCTCAATGGGCCTCTGCAGTGGCTGGACCGCGTGCTAACCCAAATGGGCTCTCCCAGACTACCCTGTAGTTCGATGTCGTAAATTGCTCCCGTTTCTCCCTTCAAGTCCCATCCTGTGTATTTTTATACATGACCGGATACCTTTTGAAATGAGACGTTCCTCCTCATTAGGAACGCCTTGTATACATTGCTACGATTTTGTGCTTGATCATTGGAATAATCATCAAAATACTTTGATTTCTTTGGTCATCATGGTGTTCAAGACCAAAATCATAGAGTTCATAGATCGCCTGTACCTTTATTGTCAGATTTGAGATTTTATGAATTGATAATTTTTTGCATGTTGGTTGAAACATTTTTCAGAGTTGTAAGGGTAAAGTGTACAACGTTTTTTACTATAGTTGGATAGTAACTTAACTTTTATGTTGAATTTAGAGCTTTATCTTTATGATTATATACCTTGTTTTTGGTCAATCACTTTTTTGTTATGGCTAGTTTTGCTAAACGCTTCCATGTTAGAACTTTGTGGTGATATTGTCCACTGGAATTGTTATCAATTATTTAAATCAGCAATAATGATAGACATGTTGATGTCCTTTACCATTGTTTTGACCATTTCAAGAAAATTATACATGTGTGATATATCAACTTGCACTATTTTCTTTTTTGTAAATTATTTGTAGTTACTGAGTGCATTTCTTCTACTTTTAAGCTTGTACCTTCATCAGTTCATGTTGACAGTTTGTATTTACTTATATACATCATTTTAATTATTGTATAGACATAGTTTTTATCAAGGCAACTACCAAATTGGATGTATTTCACTTTGAAGAATATATAGCCGTTAATTTATTTATTCATTTTATTTTCAATCAATCCTGCATTATTCAATCAAGTGATCCAAAACCTTTTTATATTGATTGGATGGAATGGACAGATTAAATGGGATTAAATAATACAGCTTACATTTCTAACCACATATCTATTACCCAAGGAATATAAGCAATTCTTCAATTCTCTAATAAGAGCTGATAAAACATGAACAAGAAAGAAGACCAAATGATCATTAGCCTGGTGGCCACTGCATTTGCCTTCCAGATAGGACATGCACATGTAAGTGGTAAACAGATTGAGCTCCTATTGGACCATCATTAATGACAATTCTGAAACCATTCTTCAGATTCCTTTTCTGAGCGATTCTTCTGGCTACGACGAGGAGGTGTCCTAGTATGGGTTCATCAGTGTCTTCAGACTTGGAAAGTTGAGGAATATTTTTGCGGGGTATCACCAGGAAGTGCACCGGCGCCTGGGGGTTGACATCATCGAAGGCTACGCACTAGAACATTGGATGGAAAAATATTCAAATCAACTTTAGATCTCAGAGGAACAAATACTGAGAAACATTTTGTCAATGGTTTGCTTACCACCTCATCTTCATAAATGAAATTGCACGGTATTTCTCTACGTAATATTTTCCCAAAAATGGTGTCTCCACCGGCTTCCGCAACTTGAGCAAGTTGCACTTCGTTCGCCATTCTAATCTTTTTTCTTTTTTGAATTTTATTAATTCTTCTTACTTCTTCTTATTTTGTATTTCTTGGTTTTCTGACTCCTTGCGGTGTCAATTTCACCAGATCAGGTGGGTTTGTTTCCAGTAGAGTCCAAGGACTCTAGTTTCCAGGTGCTGATATTTATACTTGGGATTTTTGGATTTATGGGTAGGGTTGTTTGTTAGTTCCCATTAGTATGAGTAAATGTTATGTACATTAATGGAATATTAACTATGTATCCCAACAATTTATCTACAACACATACAAATACATATTAATTAAAATAATTGTGGATATTTCTCATGATTAGATAAAGAGTTAGAAGACATTATATATCTTGCTGGCTTTTCTCAATAAACTTGGCCAATATTTTGATTTTTTCATACTCTGAATTGAGATTACCTAGAATCATTTGATATGATATAGGAGGATTTAATCCCAATTTGAGGATATCATTATATAATCTGTCAATATTGTGCTTATTATTTTCACATTCTAATAGGAAGTGGTTGATATCCCCAAATTTCCCACATTCACATAAGTTAGAATCCTGAATTTTAATCTTATTAAGATGAAAAGGCAAAGAACAGTGACCTATTCTTAATCTTACAATGGCTGTGAATGACCTGCGGGAAAACATTTGACATTCCTTGAACCATGGTTTTTCTTGAATTTTCGGTTGTATCTCTCTATACCTTCTACCTTTATTCATTGAAGAGATGTCCCAAAAATGTTGAAATTTATTTTTAGTACTTTCTTTGATATGAGGAATCAGATCTATGTTTAATACTTGGTTGATTCTATATGGAATATTTGCGTTTTTTGCGATCTGATCTGCTTTTTCATTACCCTCTATATTCCTGTGCCCAGGGATCCATGCTAACTTGATTAAAAAACCGTTTTTAAGATGTTCTGACCATAATTGTTTGATTTTCAAGAATAAGTTGTTATTATTTATTTTTATATGATTGTTTTGCAGTCCCATTATAGAACTTTTGGAGTCTGAAAAAATAATATAGTTATCTGGCTCTTCAGCTATATAGATGAGTGCAAAATAGATTGCTGTCAATTCAGCAGTCAAGATTGAAGATTTTGTGTGGATAATCCCCCCCTTTGAAAAATCTTTATGGGGGATATATATCCCAAAAGAAACTTTGTCCACTGTCTTAGACCCATCAGTATATATATGTTTATAATTTGGCCATCTTTCGTTAGTTATATGAATAAATTTTGTTCGTATACTTCTACAGACTTCTTCCTTTTTCTCTATGCCAATGTCTTCCAAGATATCATATTTCTCGTAATAACTGCCTACAGGAAGTTCGTAAAGAGAATTCCTATTTATCGCCCTTATCTGGTTAAACGGGGGTAATTTGAATTCCCGGATAGCTAATGTCAGTACCCACTGTGACATTTTATTCCTATTTGTTCTAGACACCGCTTCTTCAAATTCTATAATTTTATTTTTAATTGGGCTCGACCTGATGGCATAATGTTTCAACATAAAATTCAAGGTGATATAATTTTGTTTCAGATCAATGGGATACTCATTGGTCTCCACCAATACTGCATTAGATGGGGAGGATCTCATAATGCCCATACACAGTCTGAGCGATTTCAGCTGCATACCAGATATTAATTTTACATTATTCTTGCTAGTGTTTCCATACATTAACAACCCATACTCGATTCTTGATAAAATTAGCGTATGATGTAGTGTTAGCATAATTTTTGGATCTGAACCCCAACTTACCCTTACTAGATATTTAATTATATTCAGAATATTATTACACTTATTTATTATTTCCGTAACATGTTTTTTCCACGTAAGTTTCCTATCAAAGGTTAAACCAAGTATTTTATGATGCTCTACTTGAGCTATATTAGCGTTATCAAATTCAATATTTAATATTTGGTTCTGATGTGTCTTTGAAAAAACCATACATCTAGATTTTTCGGCTGATATACTCAACCCGTGTACATCCAGCCATTCTTCCATTGACCCTATCGCTCTCTCAATATGATGTTTTGCAACTATATGAGACTTATGGGACTTGAATAGAGTAATATCATCAGCGTATTGAATATAACTGCAATGTGGATGAATTGCATCCCATAGTGTAACAGTATAAAGGTTGAAAAGAATAGGACTCAACACTGATCCTTGCAATAATCCTTTATAAGATTTTCTCGGGCCCCATATTTTATGTTTCTTATCCCTAACATATATATTCTTTTCACTGATTAGCTTGAATATAATGAGAATAACATTATTATTCACTCCCAGATCTTTAAGACTTTGGACTAGGATCTCAGGTATGACATTGTCATAAGCTGATTGAATGTCCAGAAAAGCCGCTACTGTGCAGTTTTTTTTTATACTATTGATTTGAATATCTACATATAAATTGAATAGTGCTTCCGTTGTACCCATCCCTTTCCTGAAACCAAATTGATTATCGGGTAATATGTTATAATGTTCGGTCCACCATTCAAGCCTAAACTTAATTAAATGTTCAAAAATTTTTTTCAAACATGATGATAGGGCGATTGGCCTATAATTATTGTGGTTATTAGGGTCTTTTCCTGGTTTCAGGATTGGAATCAACACTATATCTTTCCATTCCTCTGGAATTTCCCGACTATTTAACCAAATCTCATTATAAAATGATACCAACCATGTAAACGCATTTTTTGGCAAATTTCTAATCATCTTATATGTAATTCTGTCTTTACCGGGTGCAGTGTCTTTCACTCTATCCAGAACGCATCTCACTTCTTTTTCCGTAAACGTATAATGTATGCCTATATTATCATCTATCCGGTTGATTTTTACCGGTGGCCTCTGTACATCTGGCTGACAAAACTTATCAAGTAATAGTTCATTAAATTTTTCATCATCTCTGTTTTCTGTAAACTGATTTCCTTGAAAATAGAATGGCCTAGAAAACCGTTTTATATTATTCCAAACTGTTGATATATTGCTCTCTCTGGATAAAGTTTCAGTAAATTTCTTAAAAGATTCTTTTTTCTTTTTCTTCAGCATTCTTCTAGATTTAGCTATCTCTTTTTTCAGCTCTATAAAGTTTTCTTGATTAGATGACTCCTTATATGCTTTAAATTTTTCCTTTCTTTTTTTAACAATTTCTGAACATTCCTCATCCCACCACGGGGGCTTCATTAAATTTGTATATCTATTATTGTTCATGTTAATTTTTGGGGCAGCTACAGTTATTCCAAGATTAATTGCCGTTATGAGTTCATTGTATGAATTAATACTGGACATTTCAATAGATTGGTAATACTTGTTCCAGTCCATTTTTTTATAGTTGAAAATTGTCTCATCATTATCCAAGTCTATGTCCATGTCAGTATTAACATGATTGTTAAATTGGATACTGGCTTCAATAGGAAAATGGTCGGACCCGTAAGTGTCCTCTAATGTTTTAACTTCTACTCTATTGTATAAATTTGGGGATGTTACAATCAAATCAATAACACTTTTGGAATGAAGAGAAATAATAGTGGGTTGAAAATCACTAATTATGGTCATGTATCCGTCATCAACTAAACTATTCAATATATTTCCCCCTCTATTATTATTTGAATTCCCCCAGTTTGTGTGGTGGCAATTGAAATCTCCACTTAGAATAAAATTTTGATTTCTTATACAGTTTCTCCAAAAAATGTCATCAACTGTTATATCCGGAGGAATATATATAGAGAATATATCCGTATCCCCTACTTTTACTCCCACTATATTTACCCTGTTTGGAATTTGAAAGTCGATGTCTATGCTTTCAAATTTAATCGTTTCTTTTATCAATATACCTGTCCCTCCCTTTCCATCCTGTCTGTTATGTGAAATTGATTTGAATCCTTTTACTGACATGTTAAAATTTGGTTTTAACCAAATTTCGGATAAACACACAATATCTGGTCTAATATTATCTATTAAATCTAATAGGTTTGCTTTGTTGGCATTATAGCTTCTAATGTTCCAATTTATTAATTTTAATTCTGACATTCTCCAGTCTCCTCAATTAATTCAAAAAGCGGTGATGATGTAGAACTATGTGGTGGAATAAATTCCTTAATTAATTCAAGAAAAGTTGTTGGGTGTTTGAAGTAGATATCACTGATTTCATCTCTAATTTTCTGTTTATAATCTTTTGGGCTCATAACTGGATCAGAGCCAGAAGCCTGACCAGGGAGTGGAATGATTGTTGGAATTCTAGTTGGATTAACTTTGACTTGGCCATCAGGATTTATTAATAGTTCCCTATGTTCACTTCCATATCCTCTTTTGACATTTCTATTATCTTGGTTATTACTATATTGCTTTTGCTTTACGATAGTGTAGTTGTTACTTTTTGTGGCTTTGTTATATCCCTGAGGGGTATGAACACGTGGGGTTAGGTTATTTTGTGTTTGCGCCAAGATTGCACTAGTGCTTGGTAACTGTGGAAAATTATTCACATTGAAATTATGCTGATTTACATTATTTCCATGTCCACTATTGATACTGTTGGGAACCAATTTTGATGCTTCAAAGAATGATATATTCCTTTCTCCTATAAGCTCTTTTATTCTCCTTTGTCTGTGAAATTCCGGACATTGTCTGTTTTTGAAAGGTTTATCAGGTTCGTTTGATAAATGTTCCTCACCACAGAAAAGACAAGATGGATGGAGCTTGTCACAACTATCCAAAGTATGGTTCTCTGCACATTTAGGGCATCTGACTTTACCCTTACATTGTGCCTTTGTATGACCATACCTTAGGCAGTTGTGGCACTGCATGACAGGCGCATAATAATTCAGGGTTTCAAAACTGCAAGAGTACATAAATACCTTATTTGGTATAAACTTTCCTCTAAATGTGACTAAAATAACTGGGATATCTTTATATTCAATTTCTCCATTGTTTCTTACTTTCTTTTTCAATCTTCTCACATGAATGATTCTTCTATTATCAATGGTCTTCATATTACTCCTTATTTCATCTTCAGAAAATATTGTGTCAATATCTTTGATAATAGCTTTTGATGTAATTAAATTGTTAGGTATTGTAGTTCGAAATTTATTTATTGATAGGAATTGGTTATCTTCAAGTAATTTATTTGCTTCCTCAATTTTTTTGAAAGTAATCATTAATCTATTTTTCCCCCTTCTTTCAATTGAAGTTGGATTATATGAAGAGTTTTGATGAAAAATTTTTCCAACTGCCAAGTTAGAGAGATATCCAACATTTCCATCTGTAGATTCTAAATATATACTATATGGCCCATGGTCCAAATACTCAAATTTCATTATATCTATATTTTGAGAAGAAACATTCAGAAAATTATCAGAGTCCCGCAAGTCATTCATAATATCCATATTTTCATTTTCATTTAGTTCCTTATCACTCAATTTAGATTTCTTTGTCATGTTATTGTCATCTTTTTTGTAGATGTCTCTTTTTTGTGCTTCATTGTTTGCTTTTTTTATAACTAGATCGGCAAGAATGTTAACTCTCGGAGGCAATTTGACCTTCAGATCACTTTCACTATTCAGAAAATATCCATCTTTCAAAATTTCCCCACATTCCTGTACGAAATCCTGTTTAATAGTAATATTTGTAATTAGTTCATTACATTTTTGCGGGTTATACTGACAGTTATTTGCAAAAATAAATAAGTTATTAACTGCCTCCTTCGTCGATGGAGATCTCTCTATCAGGTCTTTGAAAATCTTTGTGTCATGATCCAAAGTCAAATCACCTCCCCCCGGTCTCCCGGGGGAGTTATCCCCCATGTTATTGACTACTAATCAGTTTATTCACCAGATAATAATTGATAATATCTCAAATTATATAGAATCAAAAAGTGAAGATGTTTCACAAAGTTAAATATCTTCCAAAGCTTATCTAAAAAAGATCAGACAACCCAAAACAACTACTATACACTTACTTGTTAATATCTACTTTTCTTAGGTTAGGATCAAGATAGGAACAGGTCAACGACGTGCACCTCTCCTCTAATCAAATTTTAAAAAATTTTATTAATTAAATTATATTTTTTCTCCCTTTCAAAAATTCAGTCAAATGTCAAATTGAACGACAACCGACATAATAATGACAATTGACATTCGACAACTTTTGCATAATTAGGTCTGTTCGTTTGTGTTGCTGAATTTGTTAGAGTTGATTTTAGGTCCCATAGTTCCCTCTGTTCGTGGCATGATGTAAACAGAGACAGTTACAGAAAAAAATCAACTTTAGCAGGTAGAGTAAACACATGAACGAACTAGCTTAAAGTGGCATGTCAATACAGCACTGGTAATTTTTGTTGGATTAAAAAAAGGTGTCCACTTCGTTCTCATTTTGATTAATTAGGTAATCTCAATCAATGACGACTAAATATCTAGACTGTGACGGGTTATATAAAGTCGAGATGTGGAGTATCTCGAGTTCTCGATTCTCTAAACTCGAGAGTTCTACGACTGCTCTCTGGAGTAGCTGCACCGTAAGAATACTAAAAATTAGGTTGGCAACCGTTTGACACCATCGCGTCAGATCAAATGTCTCCTCAATGTTTATGTTATTGTTCATAAAAGTCAATACAACAGTTTGAAAAAGTAAACAAATCAATTTGTTCATTCATTTGAACATAATTGTTGTGAAAGTGGCATAGAAAATCTACTATTCAGCAAAAAAAATTCTAGAATTTTTTTGAAAATGGAGCCACAACCAAATGTATATAGAAAAATGCTAGCTGCAGCCATTTCTAGTATGCTACTAGAACAGGGTTACGATTCAGTGGAAAGGGAGGCTTTAGGAACCCTTACAGAAATGATGCAAGCTTGTGAGTCTTAATATTTTAACCAAATATAATAACACTACTTTCTCCATTTCTTTTCAATTCACAGTCATAACAGAGACTGCATCTCTCAGCAAAAATTATTGTGAGCTAGCTGGTAGAGTGGAACCAGTTATAGCAGATGTCATTCTCGGATTTGTTGAAATGGGTTTCAACTTCAACTCACTGGAATCATATTACCGCACTGTGAAGCATAGTGCAGTATTACCACCACTACAGCAACAGCAGTCTCAGAAACAGCTTAGTATGTTGGCAGCTGGATCAAAGCAACCACTTCCTTCACATATTCCCCAACATTTGCCCCAGTTCCCTGACCCACATGCTTATGTCAGAACACCAGTGAGTAAAACTTGAGTGACCATAATGCATTTTTCTAACAAAGCCACCTTTATACTTTTAGACTCACAAACAACCTGTGATAGACTATGAATCAGTGAGAGAAAAAGCAGCCATCCAAAAACGAGATATGGAAAAAGCTCTGACTAAGTTTTTGGCAAAAACTAGCCAAACACATAATTTGTTTGACACTGATGAAGCAAATATTTTCCCATGTGAGTTTGATTGATTTCATCTTGTATAGTAGTTATGGATAGGTACATTGGATATTAATTTTCAGTAATAGCCTGTAAGCCAGTTTATCCCCCCTATCTGAGTGCTCTGCTACCCCAAGATCAAATTTTTGATCCTGAAGACCTAGATTTTGACCCCAAGAGTCAAATCATCCAGCAACAGAAGAACCATGATAGGGCTAAAAAGAAGATCAAAGCTGAGATCAAAACAGAGCCAGGTGAAGAGGTTGAACAGGAAGTGGATCACAATGAGTCAAAAAACAGTGAGGACAATCAGGGGGGCCTCATTGATAATCCCTATTTGGCAGCCACTAAGATGCCTGGAGTGATGGAAATCAGTTGAAGCCAATTGGTGGGGTGTTTGATTCTTTTGTGATGATTTGTTGTGGATTTTGGATGTGGAAAGACACTGGCACTATGGGTATCCTCAAAAATATTCATTTTTGAACTATCAAATGTTGTTTTGATATCTCCATGTATTGCTTGTCTTGATTGTCTTCATTATTTCAAGAAACAATGTTGTTTATGATGGGGATTATGCAACATTTATGATACATCATATTCAAATCATGAATTAATAATGAATATTGTATGTTATGGAATTATAATGCAATAATAAACTAATATTTTCTTGTATTGACTTCAAATCTTCCTGCTTCATTTATATTTTTCAAGTCATAAGTGAGGTAACAAATTATTCCACTAGTGAATATTGATTTTTTGCCAAAATATGACTTGCTATCAAGAAATTTATTTGTCTTGTTTCATGGTTATAGATTGTATAAACTTCATTTAACATACAAATTCGATATTTTCAATTTCTTCCTGAAAAAATAAATAATGCATGTTTAATTATATAGACAAGATTCAACCAATTTTCGATAACGATTTTTTGTGTTGAAATTATTAAAACGGCTGACATGTCAATATCTTAACCTTTGATTCACTATATCTACCGACATTTTCTTGAAACATTAATGGTGGTTCAAGATTCAGAATTCTGATCATTAACATATGTAAGCTGTTTCGACTGATAATGAATAGTTTCAACACATAGTTAGAAAATCTCGATTTTGAACACCCTATATATATCTCCGTAATCACTGCATGGCGCTAGATATATTGATGAAATCAGCTCTTCAGGGAGAATTAAAAAATGCAATGAGATACAGAATATATGCATGAACATTTTCATAAATTTCTTGCAACCGATTTTCGATATAAAGATCATAGTGTAAGATCATCGTGACATACCCTGTAGATTATAATGTTGTGTCATCTGCAAATTATAGTTGTAGATAAAGTATAATATTCTACTCGGACATAATGGCTAGCTAATCGAGCCATCATTCCTTCGATTCTGATTATTGTCTGTAAGAATAAGAATTGTTGGGTCATGATGGTATATCTTTTTTTATCGCTCATTGGTGCGCACGAAAGATAATCTCTATATTAATTTGTGGACAATATTAACGAATTCCATTGGCTAGGAACTAGTGTTCCTCCACCAAATGTATATATGTTTCCTTATCACTCACATATGTTAAACAGACGTAATATACACTCAGTGGCATGATGAACAGAAGATGGTGTAGAAACTCCTATCACATCCCATCTACTGTTTTTCGGTCAAAGTTCTTGACCTACGGCCCACTTGACAGAAGGATTCTTTTCAATATTGCGGAAAATAGGTCGCATTTAACCCGTTAGATGGCGAAGTCTCAACCAAAATTCAAGGTTGGTAGAACTGATGATAATTAAAATTCCCCAAAATTACAGTTTCATACCTTCAAATTTAATCTCATTTGATTTGAGGTTATGTTATGAATGTTATATTATTATTTCTGATGCAAGCTGTGTGTAAACGCCGTTTTCCGTCATCAAATAAATCTGTAGAAAGTGTCGCCATCTTGAAGACAACTGAGAACTAATATGCCATTATTTCGGAATCTGCGGTCAAGCGTTTTGGGAGCAACAAAACACTCTCTGTGATTACACCATATTCTATCCACCTTGCTCAGTGGAGAAACATTCTACCATCACAGTTGAGAGAATATTACATACAGAGTGGGCCTTTGAAAACGAAACAGAGGCTCTGTAGGTCGCCAAAACCGGATTATCAAAAAAAACTGAAACAGGTCAACTACATTTTCGAGGGGGGCATCTTTCTAAAATATTTTCAGCCCTGCGGCGTTGCCGCTTCTGAAGAAAAGAAGCAACAACTTTGTTATTTCAAATGGAACACCTTGTATTTTATTGCATTTTTAGATTCTCCCCGAAGAGCTGATTTCATCAATGCATCATACTTAGGGTCTAGCTGTAATGGTTTCAGGGATATAAAGTGTTCAAAATCGAGATTTTTCAACTTTAACATTTTTTTGTGTCGAAACTATTCATTATTGGTCAAAACGGCTCTCATGTCCCGATCTCAACTTGTGATTTACTATCTACTGACATTTATTTGAAACAAATACAGGGTGGTTCAAGATTCAGAATTCTGATCACCCTGTATCTGTTCCAATTAAATGTCAGTAGATAGTAAATCACAAGTTGAGATAGGGACATGAGAGCCGTTTCGACCAATAATGAATAGTTTCGACACAAAAAAATGTCAAAGTTGAAAAATCTCGATTTTGAACACTTTTATATCCCTGAAACCATTACAGCTAGACCCCAAGTGTGATGCATTGATGAAATCAGCTCTTCGGGGAGAATCTAAAAATGCAATGAAATACAAGGTGTTCCATTTGAAATAACAAAGTTGTTGCTTCTTTTCGTTAGCAGCGGCAACGCCGCAGGGCTGAAAATATTGTAGGACGATGTCCCCCTCGAAAACGTAGTTGACGTGTTTCAGATTCTTTTCATAATCCGGTTTTGGCGACCTACAGAGCCTCTGTTTCGTTTTCAAAGGCCCACTCTGTATACATATATATGTAATATTCTCTCAACTGTGCTACCATCTACCAGAAAATAGGGACGAATATCTTTACAGGGTGGAATGTGGAATAAAAAAAATGGGACTACAAAATAATTAAAACATTCATTTTATTTGGACACTCTGGTCCCTAGTTTTTTCTCACTGTACAAACTGAATGAAAACTAAAACAACTACAAAAATACAGGCCAGCTTTGCCGTGGGTACCCCACTTCCTCCATAAATGAGGGGCTGGAAGAGAGCCTTGTCTTCTTTGAAGGTTGTCCATCCTACGACTTTTTCATCGCGATTTTGGTTTCTGAGCCAGACCAGCAAAGGATCGAAGTACTCCAGCATCGCGTCTGCTGATATTCTGTCCGTTTCTCCTCTGGTCATGGATCTGATGACTTGTCTCCAGTGTTTGGATTTTCCGCTTCTCATTATGTCCCTGTTAACATGAAATACAGTGTCATTCATAAAGTCGGCATCATATGGAAACAACTTTAGATACTGATGGGCGTTGAGTATTGCTTGAAAAATGATGAAAAATGGCTTACTCGGTCGGAGTCACGTGACTCGCTACATGTCAAAATTTACATTTTCTCGAAATAATCGCTGAAAAAAGATCTCAAGTTTCTGTATACTTTACACTTCAACAAAATAACATTATTTCTTGCTTTTGTATACCCTGTTCGTCTTCCACCATCGGCCGATTTTCAAAAGCACTCAAATGGCTGAAATTTCGAAATAAAAATAATTGAATTATCATAGAATCCTATGTAGAATGTGGCTCTCATTGTTTTCCCCATTCCACTGACAGCTTTGATCGACATCAATATCGATGCTTTGACGTACTTTTCCTGCTATCGGAAAAATTCTCGCGGAGGAATATCATTTTCAGAGGCATCGGTAAGAAACTTCAACAACATAACAATATATAAATAAAATTCAAATGAAATCGTCCTCCATTTTGGCTCGTGATTTTGACGAATCCCGCGCATGCGCAAATAGGTATTTTAACCTGCAGACTGTCGATCATTTGTTTCCTCAAAACTGGCTTCACTTTTGACCATGGAAACATAGGATGTTATCCGTTCCGTATATGTCTAGTAGGTATATGAGTTCAAGTCAAATGTGTCAGTTAGTACAGTATGAAAGAATATCACTATTATTACTCTTATTACTCGATTCATCACAATAATGTCGTCTGACATTAAATGTTGAAAATCGAGTGAGCAATGTACGAATGACTCCATAGTTGTAGATAAAAGTCATTCTGACGAGATAAAAGCCATTATGAACTCACATCAGAACCCTGCCCGCCTCCCTAGACCTGTACAAGTCGCAGCCGTGCAAGGGCCCCGTCTGCCCCGCCGCCTGGCACGCGACCTTGAACACCTGGAACTCCAGCAGCAGCGCCACGTAGTAGCGCGCGTAGGGCACGTCGGCGGGCACGTGACGCTTGGCGGCGGCGTCGAAGTGGGCGTCGGAGCGGGTAGCGGGCGGGACGACGCCCTGGTAGCGCAGGCGCAGGTCCCACCAGTCGGCGTTCATTCGGGTCACGCCCGACTCGAAGAGGTCGTAGCGCCACTGGAATGAGCCGTGGAGAAAGCAATATGGCGAGTCGAAGATGGCGGACGAGTTTGTGGATTTGGTGAGATTTTTTCGGAATTTGTGAGTGTGGGTTTTCTGAATCGGCGGTTATGCATTTTTTGTCTTAATTAATGAATTTTCTGGTATCTTCATCCCTATCTATACATATGTGTAGCAAGGAGCAAAGCTATAGAATACATTCATTTTATTAAACCGAATAGCAATGTTTATTTGTCAATTTGTTTTCTGCTTTCTTACAGTACTTAGAACAATGTATTTGAATTGAGAATTAGGAACATGATTATTTTTGTATGAGAATGTTTGTTTTGTTTGTTTCTATTTTGTTGAAAATAGGTTACTTTTCTGTTTACTAAAAGCGTCATTTGCAGTTGTCAAATTGATTATTCACGAAATCCGATAGATTTCACGTGTGAATAGGACCGTGATGTGAATATACAGGGTGTTCCTCAATGATATGTTAATATTCAAGGGGCCGATTCTTCAACCCATTTCAAGAATAATACGTATGTCGTAAACGTCCTAACTTTTGAGATACAGGGTGTCAATGTTGAAAATATGCATAGATTATTTTTGTCCACCCTGTATAGCTCCTCTTCAAAATTCAGTCTGCTATGTGACTGAATCGGTATGCAAATTTCAAAATGTAACATACTGTGGTTATCCAGTAATGGATGTCCTGAAAGGAGTCCTCAGACATCAAAATTTGAAGTCTGGTCTCGTTTTTCCGTTTTTTCTCGAAAACGAAGCGTTCTATCGAGTATCATCAGGAGGATCTTTTCTGTACATAATTAAATAGCCTTCTATGGCATTGAAAATTTGAAAATTTTTCGTCTTTGCTCACCTTTAAGTAAAATATAAATAATAATATTCCCGTAACGGTGCCACTGGTAGAGAAAATGAAAATTTTTGTACATCAAAAAATGCACCTTGATGCATAAAATACGTGTACCAAATTTCATGGAGATGTATACAATATTGTCTCAGTTATTATCAAAAAACTGAATATTTTTCAAAACTTCATCACACTGTATCTCAAAAGTTAAGACTTTCAGGACATACGTTCATATGAAGTTTTGTTCTTGAAATGAGTCAAAGATTTACACCTTCGAATATTAGCATGTCTTCAAGGAACACCCTGTATAAGTGTTTGAGGTCGGCGAAAAAATATATTATGCACCTCGACGAAAAACTGTCTATTGTCTCGTCTGATTGCTAGCCTCGGCTGAGGCCTCGGCCATCAATTTGTAGACTCAACTATAATAGACAGAGTTTCGTCCTTGGTATATAAATAACTATTGTATTATATAAATTACATACTTCTTCTTGTGTAAATCAATTTCATTTGAAAATTTAATATTTTTTGGCCACCGTGTGAAAATGAGTAGGTTATTATTATATATATAAATATAATTATATGAACTATCACGCTACCCAATTCTCATAAAAAAACTTATCGATTACGTTATTCCGCCCAGATGGATAACGTCTTTATAGTACATATATCAGCAACAAAATCATTACTCAAAAATAGAAAACGATCTGTTTTAGGATTTGTATCCAAAGTCGCCTATGCCGCTATGGAGATGATCCCTGAAACAGCGGGACAAATCACAAATTCATTTTTTCAAATGGAATACCCGGTTGACATAATCCTGAACATATTATGATTCAGTAAATAAAATTTACCTGTTCTAAGAGATATGCGAAAGGTGCATAAGCAACTTTTTTGAGAGCCATCAACATCAAGAAGTTGATATTCAACTCGTAATTGTCAGTGTTAGTGTTGAATAAGCCAACTCTCCATAAATGCTTCAGGTTGAAAACTGATAAGACTATGGCATTGGCAACACCTTCATGAAAACCTTGAAAAAAAAAACTTTTTGTAAGAGACATGAAGACCAAATATTTTGGGTATACCTGGATTCGCGCCATCTCTGAAAAGATAAGGTTCATCCGAGTAATACAGATAGTACTCAATATGGGCCATTTCATGATGTATCATTATCAAGTTCTTCATGTTCATTTCTGTGCACTGTTTGATCCTACAAAGCAAGATGGGCAGGTGAAACATTGGCAGATTGTTGTTCATTAAATTCTCTCACCTGAAATCAATATTGTTGCAGAAGTCCCAAGCACTTGCAGTACATTGAACTTTTCTACCATTCGGCCTTTCAATCATTGAGTGTCTCCAGAATTCGGGAGGCATTGGTTTCAAACCCATGGAAGTGAAGAATTCTTCTGCCATTTGGAACATTCTACACGGAGAAACATAAATTTTTTTCATCAACAAATTTTTTCTGTGTGGATATTTTTTGTTGAATTGATCATCAATTTTTGTTGAATCAACCAGATACGTTTGCATTTGGAAGAAACAAGGACGCATCTTGAATGTGATATTTAGTATTCCATCAAAAGTGTGGTTCTTGTCATTTTTTGAAAGACCCGAAAGTCCAACTGATATAGGTTTCCCACTATTTAACTCCAAATGCTGTTCGAGCTATAAGGGTTTCTCTATAAAAAACTATTGAATAGAATAACTATTATCGATATTTCCATTCTGCATTCATTTTCTTAGAGATAACATTCTTGCTTATATCGCTTTATGAATCATGAAATTTTCATAAAGGAACCCTCTAATAACTCGAAAACTTTGGAGTTCGATAATAGGAAACGCTATATACAGGGTGTTTCATAATTGAATGCTGATCCTTAAGGGCGATAATCCTTGGATGATTTCAAAGAGAAATGTTCATATCAACATATGTTCGAAACCTCTTAGTTATTGAGCTACAGGGTGATGATATTTCAAGAAAAAAATGAGTTTTTCATCATAATTTTTTATCACTCTTAGATATTGTTATGATATTTTGTATACACCTTTCCATTATTAAGGAGCATTTTTTAACGTGAAAGATATTCAAAAATTATCACCAGTGGCGTCCGTACGGGGTTTGAACTGAAAATTTTTGAAAAAAAATAGTACGCCACTGATTTTTCTGAGAACCAGATTTTTTTTCTCAATTTTTATTCATTTTGGAGCAAATTTGGTTCCCAGACTTACTTTCATACAACGTACCGTTTTCGCGTAAAAAAATGAAAACCAAAGAATTTTGTTCCTTCAGTTCTTGGATATTGTTTTTGGTAATTCAGTAGACACCCACTGTAAGTGGAAACACATTTTGTTTTGGGATGAGAATCAAACTCCTACTTTTACCAGTGATGTCCTCGTAGACTTGATATTGAATGTTTTGTTTAAAAAAACGCTGTACTCTTCTGATTTCAACACCCTGTAGCTCAAAAACTAAGAGGTTCAGGACATATGTTGATATGCACTTCTCTCCTTGAAATCACTCAAGGATCATCGCCCTTTAGGATCAGCATTCAATTATGAAACACCCTGTATAAGGTGAAGCAGATTTGAATGGTGCATTCAGTAGTTTGAAAGTATACAGGGTGTTTGAATGAAAAAAGGACTTCTGGGGCTTTCAGAGACCTTCAAATGACAAGATATTCTTCACTACACTGTATGAGTTTTGATGGAGATTAGAAAGATTCAGTTTCAAAAAATTTGAAGAAGAGCATTTTAAGAGATTTGTATAAAACCCTATGCAAACTCGATATTTCACACAAGAATCGTAATAATTAATATAGTAATAATGAAGATGATGAAAAGCTCTAATTTCAAGTGACAACGGAAAATGAAAAAACTCCACCGCCTGCGTGAGAGTCGAACTCACAACCTCTGTGTTACATGCCCAACGCTCTGCCAATTGAGCTAACAGAACATCCGTCGATCAATTGGCCTTAAGGTCGAGTTCTCATCACATCTCTTCAAATCCCAAATATAGTGACATCAATTATTGATTTGCTGATAAATCGAAATTATCTCTACATTAGCAAGAAATCGTCCCTTGATTCAGAGAAATATTTCATTGAATCATTATGTAATTTTGAGTCAAACAAAATGATGATTTGAGCTAAGTCAAGAGAATCTAGAGTTTATGAAAGAAATGATTGCTTGAATCAGACTTCAAATTTGAAACAAGTCATATTATATATTCCACTGATTTGAAGATTATACAAGGTGATTCAAAATTCGATGTTTGTGAATACTTTAAGGACGTATCGTAAGGATCAGAATAAGACTTTTTCTTCATAAAAATGTGTCCTACCCCCTTTTCCGAGTTACAGCCACTGTAAGTTGAGTAAAAAAAAGAATATCTGAAATTGTGATCATAAGAACGGATCGAATCGTCTGGAAATTGGCATGCCCCTGTTTTTTTAGACATTTTCTTTGCTTCAAAAATTATGTTAACGCAGATTTGGGGTAGTTGGAGAGGGGTCCAAACTCGAAGGGGGTGCATTTTACGACACATATTTAAATGAAGAGTAAGTCTTTTTTTCATCCTAACAATATTCACATCGAATTTCAAAACACCCTGTATATTTCGTCGTACATGTATGACACTTTTATTTGTTTTATTGAAGTTAGTTTCGCTATGGCTTGGTTCAACGATTTCTTTTTTTCATGTAGATCACAAACAAATAGAGTGTTATGCAAGGCACATTTGATGGAAACTTATTACCTCAGAGGGGTGAACCCCTGTCGTAAGATTTCCACAGTAACATCCATATCCGCGAACTTGGGATAAGGTAGGACGATGTCCGCGATGTTGGTCCAGTCCTGGGCCCAAAGGTTCCCAAGAATGTGGGCCGGCAAGGGCCCCTCTGGCCTGACCACACGGTCTCCGTACTGCTCGATCAACTTCCTTCTGACGTAGGTAAGCAGCTCCTTGTAGAGCGGCTGGAGTTTATGGAAAGTTTGGGCGAGCTCGTTCTCGAAGTCCGGGTCTTCGTACATGAAACGCATTTCTTCCCCTGCATCCAGGAAACCTGGAAAGTAAGAATTTTTCAAATCGCAAGGGCAAGGGCTAAACATAGTTTTTGCAAACCCTGAAGATTAAGTTGATACTAGTGATATCGTCGGTGAAACCCGAGAAGTACTCCATATAAGTAAATTTTGCAGGAGAGCATCAAAACATGGCAGACAAGGAGAATTGTTGAACTCCTCCTGTACAATTCAACGCGTTTGAATGAGAAGTAATGGCAATAGGAGGACGAAGCAATATGCCACGTCAGACCTTGATTCTCATATTCACAGAATATCAGACGTTAAAAGTTATTGATGACCGTTCTAGTGTATATTCTACCTCTTCACGAGCATAATTTTCTCGGTACGGAGTTACACGGTTTTCTGAATGACCATTTACACAGATAATTCGGATCTTGTGGAGATACCCATTTCGTCAAATGATAGATATGAATTTGATCCATCAGATGTCGTTAAAATTTCGATTTCAGTAAAAAGTGGAGTTACACACTTTTCAGGTTTCACCGACGATATCTTCTTCTGACGTAGGTGAGCAGTTTTTTGTAAAGAGGCTGGAGTTTGTGGAAAGTTTGGGCGAGCTCGTTCTCGAAGTCCGGGTCTTCGTACATGGATCGCATTTCTTCCCCTTCATCCAGGAAACCTGGAAAGAAGCTGCCCTAGAAGTTCCTTCATTCTGATGTGGAAAAAATTACCGTTTTGGTGAAGAAAGTGAGGTTTCGCCACTTAAGAAGTTACTTCAGCTGATAAAAAATTCATGAAGATTCATTTTGATATCCAAGTCACTAGGAGTTTGAATGATTTTTCCAAATCGCAAGGGCTAAACATAGTTTTTACTGCAAAAAATATCATTCATAGTCTTCTTAGCAGAGATGAGGTGAAAACTAATGATATCTCCTTCTGACATAGGTGAACAGCTTCTTGTAGAGCGACTGGAGCTTGTGGAAAGTTTGGGCGAGCTCGTTCTCGAAGTCCAGGTCTTCGTACATGAAGCGCATTCCTTCCCCTGCATCCAGGAAACCTGGAAAGTAGCTGCCCTTGAAGTTCCTTCTTTCTGTTGTGGAAAAAATCACCCTTTTGGTGGAAAAAGTGGAGTTTCACCACTTTAGAAGTTACTTCAGCTAATACGAAAATCATGAAGACTCATTTCAATGTCCAAGCCACACGGAGTTCTGATGAATTTTTCAAATTGCAAGGGCAAGAGCTGAGCTTAGATTTTACTGCAAAAAATACCATTCATAGTCTCCTCAGTAACCCTGAAAATGAAGTTGATACTAGTGATATCTTCTTCTGACATAGGTAAGCAGCTCATTGTAGAGCGGCTGGAGTTTGTGGAGAGTTTGGACGACCTCGTTCTCGAAGTCCGGGTCTTCGTACATGAAGCGCATTTCTTCCCCTGCATCCAGGAAACCTGGAAAGTAGCTGCCATTGGAGTTTCTTTATTCTGGTATGGAAAATTTACCATTTTGGTGGAAAAAGTTAAGTTTCAAAACTTCGTGAACATGTATCGAACAATAGGGAATTGAACAGTTAGGAAAGTAATGAAAGTATTCACATTTATATCAATTGTCATTGATGAATAATCAAGATTTAGGACTTATCCCTATAGCTCCAATCTTTTTGATTCACTTCGATGAACGATCATGGAAAACTGCTTTCTGAACCATGGAATACTATCGGTATAAAAAGCATTTAGCCAACTTCTAAAACCACTCTTGCTGTTTTTTTTCTAGAGAATATTCCGAGAGATAAGCCAGAGCCAGCAAAAAAATAAACGCTCGAAATCATCGAATGTTTTCATTCAAAATTTTATGTGACGTAGGCTTTTTCCCAGAGGAATTTTTTCTAAGAGGAACTCGAGTGGATACGGAGAAGGATCCTAGAGTAAAAGGTGGATGAAATGAATCAAGCCTTGCGAAATCTTACCATTCAGTCTGGCAGCTTGGTTGGCCAAATCAGCATACCTCATGTACTTATTCTTCAATGGCGGCCCTATTTTGTCGTGCCACTCTCTCCACGTGTGTGCCAACTCTTTGTGGTCTTTGGACTTGGCCATGATCGTCTGGATGTCTTCCAGACCCAGGTCGCAGTAGGTCACCTCGTTGTCATGTATGCCAGGAGCATATGCGCAAGTCCTTGTTGTCGCGTAAATATCCTTCATTTCCGAAATCAGATGGTATATCTGTGAAATAAACGAAAGTAGAAGAACTATGCCGTTTCGAACACAGTACCGCACGCAACACTCCCTAGGTGGCGCTGTAGATGTGGCGATAATCCTAACTTTCAGCTGGTTTGTATTCAATATTGTCACAAATGAGGAGATAATTTGAGTCAAATTCCACAATCGGTTCGGAGTCAATGAACGGTCACGTCAATGTTTATATATCCCAAATCATTGAACCTTGTACTATTGACTAGTATTTGAACATGAACACAGGCGTGGCAATGACTCCAACTAACCAGGAATATCCACCTGACTTCCCCACTGTCACGTTTCAAAAATATAGATTGAACATATAAAAGGCGCGAGAAAATCAGCACAGGTATCATTCGATCATTCGATCATTCGATCATTCGATCATTCGATCATTCGATCATTCGATCATTCGATCATTCGATCATTCGATCATTCGATCATTCGATCATCCGATCATTTGACTCGATCAATCATTCATTTGGTTTAATGTCTTTCATTGTTGATCCACGACCTCTCAATCTGATAATCAATGTCAACTGATCGTTCGACCATTGTCGATCTAAATGAAAACCTAGTAGGCGACCTTGTGCGAGGAGGTAATTATTATAGCTCCTACCTACTAACTACCTAACTAGGTTGTCATCCAGAACGACAATGGCTCAGCTTACTATTAAGAATAGTAGTGAACTGGATAAGAAGGCCTTAATTATTGTTAAACATTCGATTGAGGACCATAAAGGTTGAATACAAAAAGCTCATTCTAGTTCACAACAATGCGCGAAGTATCTACTTCGTCGTGGTAATGTGGGAAACTGAAAAGGAGCGACACTTTTTCTACTCTTTTCAGTTATCAAAACATAATTAGGATTTTCTGCTATACTAACTGTTATTTTTGGAAAAGAAGAAGTTGTCTGTTTTTTCCTCGGTTTTTCCTGAAGAGTGAGTCCAATTTAGTTTTGATAAGTGATATAAGTGGAATATACCTAGCAAGTATGGATTGATTATGTAGTTATGTCTCGAGTTATGCACAGTTGTTCAAAAGTAATGACCAAATGAAGATTTTGCCAAAATCAAGATAACCTCCTGTATCTTAGTTATGAAAGACGGTAGATACATCGATGTGGGATGATTTGAAACCACCATAGTGTGTGCTCTATCTACAGGTGTCGTATGTCTCCTTATATTTTGACCTCTACCTACAGCTTTAACCATACGAGGTGGAAAAAACTTCGAATAAAAAAAGTTGTAGGATTTCAACAGTACTATCTTTTGGCACTCCTTATACGAACAAACTCGAATAGCAAAATGAAAAAGAGTTCAAATAAGTTTTCTAAATGTAACACCCTGTATATTTTCAACTCTTGTGAAAAATCTTTCTCTTCTGTTCACAATTATACAGGGTGTTTCCTAACTACGGTTCCTAACTGCAGGTCGTGATTCGTTAGGGAAGAAAAGTTCCTATTAACATATATCCGGAGTTGCTTCGTTTCTGAGAAACAGGGCGTTGAAATTAAAGAAAAAAACGGTAATTATAAAATATCATGAATATCTTAGAACCGATTTGGTTGGAATTTGATACTTATAAGGCGCTTATTCAGCCCTATTTAGATTACAATTATTGCGGCCAGTGGCGTTTCAGTGGGCACCACAGCCAACAATATTGTGAAAAAAGTACGCCACTGATTTTTTGTGAATTTTTATTTTTTTTACATTGAGCAACTCAAAATACAACTTTTTGGTCTCTTGCATTTTCTTCATATTCAGCTTCGTTTCCGAGAAAAAAAATCAAAGTCACTGTATTGCATTATCATGAACATCTGCATTGGAGAAAAGTAGGTACTGGGCCTCACAGGGAATATTTCGTAGAATACAGTAGCGTACTCAACTTTTTCTTGGGGGCATGGTTTTGGAGATCGACATAAACCTATACCGATTGATTCAAGAATACTTTGAGAAATTTCATGAAATGGTTTCTCACAATATTCTAATATGAATTGTCCAAATAAGTATATGTCCGGAAAAGCTTTGTTTTCAAGGTACAGGGTGTTGAAGTTTCATCTTCATTTTCGTTTTTTCATACATATCTTTCGAAATTATGAACTAGATTGAACGAAAACTGGTATTGAGAGGTTTTTTGATTTGTCGAATTCGAACCTGATGTTATTATTGCTCTTACTCATAGTAAGCGCCACCTACACGGAAATAAAAATGAAACTTCAACATCCTGTATCATGGAAACTAAGCTTATTCGGATATGTACTCATTTGGACAATTCATAACGGAATATTATGAGAAATCACCTTCGGATTCTTCAATGGAATACACCCTGTATTTTATTATCTGATCGAATTCGTTATTTTTTTCTTTCAAAATGATGCATAACACAAATAGAATTTCCAGAAATCCTAATCGTGTCGTATCTCCAAGATCATACCCACAAGAAAAACTTGAGTAGGCCTATGGATTTTGCTCAAGGTTCTTTGTTAGACGTAGTTCTTAGCACAACTTCATTTCTGATAACTTGGTAGATATAGGAGGTGATTAAAAAGTATAGATTTCCGAGATTGCCCTGAGATGCAAATTCTGGAACGTGAAAACCGCAAGGTTCTACCTTCAATAACAACGGGGAAGCCAAGCATTGTCAACCAAAATGGGATGTACTGTACATTCAAATCTGAGGCACCCTGTCTGTCTCCGTGTTCTTTTTATCCTACTCGTGAAATTTGCTCTACATCGTGTCTGTTAAATTCTTTCAAATCACCAGAGATTGTTTGGAACATTATATTTTCGGACTGTGTTAAATTTTTTCAAATCGTTTGACTTTCGAAAATAATACTGCCAGTATATACATATGTGTTCAATTTTTCATCTTATATTTTGAATACTATATATCTCTTCCCTCCGTATAATTTCATTATCATCATTAGTCATAGATAAATCATTTGTTCGGAAATTAATCGGTTGGCAGCATGATTCAACCTATTAGTCATTCATTCGAGACCAGGTGGTGAATCAAGACAGTCTTATATTAGATGTCATCACGTACGGTTGAATTTTGTGATCGCAATTGAAAAATACGCGAAAGGAATTATTTATCGTCTCAAACGGAGTGTTCATTTGAAAATAAGTGCAAGTATTGTGTTTTTGTGTTCTTCATTCAATTTAGTTATAACATTATCGCGATAGTGTGCTGTTCTGGTGTTTCGTGTTGTTTCATCAAAGCTTCGCATTTTTCACGCTGGTGAGTGAAGAGAAATTCTCTCAAGTTTTCGAAACGAAAAGGGCAAACCAGAAGAAAATAAGACGATCCGAGATTATTTTTTGCAAACATTTTTTGGCTATACAGGGTGTTTCAGATTTAAATGTACATACATCGATGTGTCTACCATCTTTTATAACTCCGATAGAGAACGTGTCTTGATTTTGGCAAAATCTTTATCTGATCAGCTCATAACTTTTGAACCATGGTGTATAATCGATTCATACTCGATAGGTATATTCAACTTATATTACTCATCAAAACTGAATAGGAATCGAATTTCGAATCTAGATCCGTCTTCAGGAGAAACAGAAAATATCTTGTTTTAGATGTATGACAAACTGACATTTATCATACAGGGCGTGGAAAGAAATTCTGAATTGAGAAAAACCCAATCACGAATCTGCGATTGAAGGTCTATAAAAATAACAAGTTTCCATCGTTCAAGTTTGAACCCCTTGATTGGGTATGAAAGTATTGAAAAGGAATATTCTCAGATATATTATAAACATGAAAAAATGGATACATTTGAATAAATACATTGAGAATTCGCATTCTCTATGTGATGAAATTATTAATTCTTTCTCGGCATATTCAACAGAAAACAACTACTTTCCTGGCTATATGCCACGACGAACATTGAATTATATCAATTGAACATACACGATAGGAATTTGAGCATAAAATGAATATCGTCTGAAATTGAGAATTGACATTCTCTTCCAGAATCGGATGAATACTATGATGAATATAACGATATAAAAAATATATTACTAACCTATGTGAAAGAGATGTGCATATATCCCAAACATCATGGATACGGATGATTTTTGATAAATTCACGACTCAACAAGAACAGAGTATGTATACTAGTATATTTCTCCCATACATTCCAATTTTCATACCAATTTGGTAAGTAATATATTTTTTATATCGTTATATTCATCATAGTATTCATCCGATTCTGGAAGAGAATGTCAATTCTCAATTTCAGACGATATTCATTTTATGCTCAAATTCCTATCGTGTATGTTCAATTGATATAATTCAATGTTCGTCGTGGCATATAGCCAGGAAAGTAGTTGTTTTCTGTTGAATATGCCGAGAAAGAATTAATAATTTCATCACATAGAGAATGCGAATTCTCAATGTATTTATTCAAATGTATCCATTTTTTCATGTTTATAATATATCTGAGAATATTCCTTTTCAACAGAAAATATCTTCTTTTTCAAAAACTACACTGTATATCATAATTTTGTATATATGTTTCAATATCTGCAAAGAACAGGAAAACTTGATGAATTGACCTGCTTTTCAACAGGGTGCATGCAATTTGACTTTTTTTGCATCATTATTTTTCAAAATAGAATTTTTGTTGAACTCCTAATTCAAAATCCAATTTCATCACAAAAAAATAATCAGTCCTCAAAGTTCAACTTCATTAGAGTCAAATTAGGTAAACTATCGATAGTTTTCATTTCATAGAATGATTGTTAACTAGATATTTCCGAGTGCTTGTTACATTTTCACTATTTGAAAAAATAATGATAGTTCGGGATACATGAAATTCTTTCGTTTTCTATCTCACTTTCAAGGTCAATATCTCCGTAACGAAGCGCGAGAACCTTTTTTTTATATGAAGTACCAACATTATTTTGGCTCCATCTATCAGTCCTATCATCTACAACATTACCTTTCCGGACACCCTGTATAGTTGCTGATTTTTCCTAAAACCATTTTCCACTCATTTGGGATTGAATCAAAGTTGCCAATAGCATTCAGATAGCTGTGAACACAACATAACAGAATGCCATAGAAACAAAACAGACATTTTTTGACATCTCTGTCGGCCTTTCATTATTATTCAGCAGTGGAAAAATGCGAAATAGTGAAATTGTTATATTATGAGAATATTGCGAAAACTTCGGTAATGCAGCAAGAATTTAGTCTAAATCGGCATTAGGAAACATCAGCAAACTAAATATATACACTTTCCCAAAAAATTAACGCACCACCAAAAAGTATCCAAAAGTGTGATATTTTATACTCTTTGCCAAAAAGTTATTATTGTCCGGAAAGAAAAGGGAGTGAATCCAAAAAAGGAATGTTGAAAAAAAATAAGTGTAATTCCAATTCTAACTTGAAAGAGTAACTATTCAACCCGCTATCATTGCTGCACCCGGTACGTATTATAAAAAGAGGTTTTCATGCGAATACAGTTCACACACTAATGTTCAGAACAGTAAACGTCCACAAAATGTATGGTAAACTTATGGCAACTTTTCGGTACTTGGAGTAGGGTATATTTTTTTTATGGATGCAAGATTTTTTTTTATGTTCTGGTTCCCACGTCAAGAGATATCCTGTAATGTTCACAGAACATATTATATATTTGTACGAAATATATTGATTTCTTTTCCAGATTAACAAGCCAACAGACAGAAAGCGAGGTGTTTGATACTTGCCACTAAGTCGGAGAAAACCATCCAGTCAAGACGAACCGAACAAAGTATCCGCAAAGAGAACTGACCAGAGTGAACTTATATTGACTTCCTTTCCAGATTCATTCTCAAGCAAACAGATAGACAGATATTCACCTTCATGTCTCCAAGAAAGCGAATATGAAGCAATCCAGCTACGGTTGTTGGAAATATTATTCCGGTATGTTTCAGATTCAACATCAGTTTTAATTCTCATGGACTTTCTGATATGTAATGTTTAGTTGCAGATACGTAAAGCAAAAAGTTTGAGATACTTGTCAAACAATCGGAGAAAAACATCCAGCCAAGACGAACCAAACAGAAGATTCGCAAAGAGAACTGACCAGAGTATACTTTTCAAAATTCAGATCTTTATATTCGTACGGAAGGCGATATATTGATTTCCTTCCCAGATACATTCTCAAGCAAACAGATAGACAGATATTCACCTTTATGTCTCTATGGAAACACGACAGGTACCCTTACGAGGGGAGAGTATCAACTCGGCGTTTATAAACCCTCTCTGCAAAGGAGGTCGGCGCATGGTGGGTTAGGTATATACAGTGTTCTTCATTGCAGAGAAAATCGTTGTTTATCTGCCTACCTCGTCTGCATTGGGAGAGTTGATGAATTGATGAATGATCATGAAAATATATCGCATTTCAGTTACAAATGTTGAAAAAAATATTCAGACTTTATGAATTTCAAATTGATGCTTACTTTTAGATCCGAGCAGCACACTGTTTGGCATTCATGGTCCTTATTATAACCCACGAAATTTAAAATGTAGCAGATGTCTACTGGCAAAACCACTATTCAGAAGGAGAGCGAATATGTAGCAATCCAGTTACGGTTGTTGGAAATATTCTTCAGGTATGTTTCAGATTCAACATCAGTTTAAATTCCCATATACTTTCTGATATGTAATGTTTAGTTGCAGATTTGAAAAGCAAAGTGTTTGAGATACTTGTCAATAAATTGGAGATAACCATCCAGTCAAGAAGGACCGAACAGAAAATCCGCCAAGAGAACTGACCAGAGTATACTTTTCAGAATTCTGATCCTCATATTGGCGATATATTGAATTCTTTTCCAGATTCTCAAGCAACCAGATAGACAGATATCCACCTTTATGTCTCCAAGAAAGCGAATATGAAGCAATCCAGTAACGGTTGTTGGAAATATTATTCAGGTATGTTTCAGACGCTCTCGTGAATCCTCTGAAAAAACTTGACTGAAGGATCTACGAAGGGGGTACACACGCACTTGTAAGATATCAAAATTGAATTCAGGGATTCAAAAAATTGGGTTGTGGTTATAGCAGTTTCTCGTAGGCGAATATATGGACCGATTTTCTTCGATGGCACTATCAATGGTGGAAGGTACAGACAAGTGATGTTAAAACCATTCATCAATCAACTTGATGATGAAGAAATTCGAGTTGGCTATTTTCAGCAAGATGGGGCCACTGCCCACACCACACGTGCAAATTCAGAATATTTACAAGAATTTTATGGCAACCGTGTGATAAGTCGCGGAGTTAATCCTTCTTTTCCAACACGTTCTCCAGATTTGACGCCTTTGGATTTCTGCCTTTTTGGATATTTGAAAGACGAAGTATTCAAGAGAGACAATAATAACCTTGAAGAGCTGCAAGCCTCAATAACACATTGCTGCCAAAATATTGGCCCGGAAATGCTGAGGAACATTTTCGACAACGGCGAAGAGTTTTGGAATGCTTGGAGAACAACGGAGAACATTTTGAACATTTGATGTAGGTTCATGAAATAAACCGCTATTTATTACTTTTATAAATATTTTTGATTTGTTCCATTATTTTTCAAACTCCAATATTGGACTCTCCATTCTTTGAGATACATTTCCATAATGTATGCAAAACGATATAAAAAAAGATCCTGTATATGATCACTTCCTCTCTTTTTGGTCGTTAAATGTTGTCAACAGCATTAGTAGAAAGCAGCAAATGGGATAAAAATTCAACAGCCACTGCGATGTTACGATCATTCATAGAGACCCTGTATTTTTGACCCCAGAAAAAATTAGAAATTTTTTTTTTTCAAACGGGAGGCTTTTGACATTTTTGAAAATTTACACAGCTTTTATTATTATCCTGTAGAAATTCATTCTGGAAAGATGCAATGATCATGTCCGTAAGTTCGATAGTCAATGAAACAAACATCAAGAAGCTGGAAAGCAATTGAAAATCGGTTGAGGCAATCGAGAGTTATGAGTTCAGAATGATACTCTGGTTTTTATGATGAGTAGATATGCTTACCTCATTATATTTTTCATCAGATAAACTAGCCCTAGTGTTGGTGGTCAGCATCTTCAATTGCCTCCTGGCCACCGGGTCGGAAATCCTCGTCCAATCGAATACGACGGCCCTCTTCCACGTGAGCTTGTCGAATTTCGCTCTCAGAGTTTGCTCCTCCACCATTTTCCGCTTGAGAAGGTCCGTCATGTTGGTGGAGTACTGCCATTGGGCAGTGTTGACTCTGAAGCACATTTCTGAGGCTTCGGTGTCGTACTCCCTGAGGAACTGCAGTGCCTTGGTCAGGTCGGTGCTGGTGCCCTGCAATTAATAGTACATTATACATCAATTTTCAATTTCAATTTCAATTTATTCAGAAAATAAAGTGTACAGATGATATTGATAACATATTACAAATCTTGGTGTTCCTTTTGGATCATAAGACTGCACCTGAGCATGCTGCATGCTTGTGTTGTACTAGTCTTTAATCCGAAAGGAGCATTCTAATTGTACAACTTTCATATTTGGCGATTGTAGTATAATTAGCGAATATATTAGGTTATTTGCTCAGAATTTTGATGAATGAAATACATATTTGTGAGATTTGGTGAGTACTAAAAGCAAATCAATTAATGTAATGTATTGTAGATTAGAGTTGAATTTATTTGGACGAAGTTTTTAATTTGTTTTTTGTATTTATTGAAATTTGTTTTTGTTTTCATTTCGGGTGGCAAGAGATTATATAGTTTAGGTCCGAAATAGTAGTGTGGCTTTTTCTGAACAATGGTGTATTGAGGCTGAGATTTTGCATTGCTCTGGTATTTTTTTTTGACCTCCAATGGCTGATTAAAACGATTTGCATTTTGAAACATCCATTGTAGGCATTGATGGGCATATAGGCTTCTAACATCAAGTATATCTAGTTGTTTATATAACTGTACAGTTGAATGAAGTCTGGTTTTTTTGAATATTATTTTCAAAAGTTTGTTTTGCATAGACTGGAGTTGTATTAAATTATTGCGGAAAACACCTCCCCATGCTTTGATACAATACCGCAGTATAGATTCAGCCAAAGAATAATAGATTATCCTGAGAGTTTTGTTATTTAAAATATCTCTCAGTGTGTACATTTTTCGAGTCAGCTGCCTGAGTCTGCTAGTCAATAGAATAGTATGCTTCTCCCATCTCAAGTGTTGGTCTATCATGACACCTAAGTACTTTATATTATCACATTTTTCTATTTCAGGACAGTTGCATGTTTCTTGATTTTGGCAATTATTTTCGTGAACTAAAATAGTATTTTTCCCTACTGGCTGATCATTTGCTGTTAGTGAAAATGCTATATATTTGGTTTTCTTAACATTCAAGCTCAATAAGTTTTGGTCCAGCCATTTTTTAACTTGTTCTACTCCGAAAGGGACAGAAATGCAAGATTATTCTCCAAGGTGCGATATGTAACTCCAGAGCGAAGCGCAGAGATACGAAGCACCGAGGGAAAAATAGCATTATGTTCTGCAAGTTAAGTATCACTGCAGAAGCAGCATCAACAATTTCTTGAGGTTCTCGCTCGATTTCTTGTTCCATAACCGTTAACAATTTTCAAAGCTGTTTCCACAAATTTCAGTTTGTTATTTGATGTTACCATGGATTGTCAACAAGATGCATGTCTAAATTTCGTACACCGTTTGCCTAATAGTTCCAGGCATTCTCTGTGATGACATTTAGGCCGAGTCTGCTTAGGTTGTTTAGAAGCAGTAGTCTCCTCTGTTCTCTCAAGTAATTTTCTGAAAAATATACTTTCTAGGATGAAGGTTCATTTAGGCGGAAAAATAGTCTAACTTCTTATGGAATGGAAGTTACGCTGTAACGCTGTTTGCCGATAATACGTGAAATGACTAGGCATTTCAGGGAATGACGGATTTCACTAATTGACTTTTCATAAATTACTTTTTTCCCGTGAGAAAAAAGTGGGTTTTGTTGTGCTATAGTTCCGAAAAATGAGTCAATAATACCGTCTTCGAGAAAGAGCTGCAAGTCCTTTTATCTTCCATTCGACTTCGCGGTTACGTATATTACTAAACAACCACTGAATTCGTGATTTCTTTAAATCAAATCACAGATTTCGACTGACAGAAGTGATATCAGATATTTGATTACTTCGAAAGAATGATAAAGATGCCTACAACGCAGGTGTCCCTACTGATAACAACTTAAAATTTCACGTCGATAATTTTCAGATTTCCAAATAATGTAATATCTTCTCAATATTGATTCGTCCTTCCTTCACAAAAAAAAATAGTGCATTATACCCGGGAAAAATATTAGATTTTAGCTCACGGTTTTTTGTCTCTCTCCGCTACGCGTCGGGAGACAACATAACCTGGGGCTAAAATCTACTAATTTTTTCCCTTGTTTAATCAATAACTATTTTTACCCTGACGAAAACACAAAAATTAAGATAGGATAAAAATTTGGTTTGAGTGTTTCGTCATAATTAGTAGTTGCTTGTGGAATTCCTATCTTGACAACATGCATCTTGTTGACAATCCATGGTAACAGCAAATAACAAACTGAAATTTGTGGAAACAGCTTTGAAAATTGTTAACGGTTATGGAACAAGAAATCGAGAGAGAACCTCAAGATATTGTTGATGCTGCTTCTGCAGTAATGCTTAACTTGCTACCTGTGAAATCCAGAAATCTGTATGACGCATCTTATAATCGCTTCAGAGAATCTTGTTTTGAAGAAAAGCGCAGAGTTATACGGAAAATGATTAATATAAAGATAATATAAACTCCCCATAGAGAAAATATATCACATTATCTTCCTAGGGAATAATACGCCTCATCCGCCGTTCTTTTGTTACCGGAGGAACTAACTTCTCTCGCCGGCGTAAAACATTATTATACCGGGGGATAACGAAATCATTGGCTAGAGCGTCATTCAATTATGTTCAATACTAGACTTTTGATATGCTTATATTCTCCATGCAAAAATAATTGAATATCCCTTGAGGAAAGGACCATTTGCTATTTGAAATTCTGAAGAAAACATTTTCGACCAATAAAAAGCATGTATTTTGTATCGTTATCATAGCAACTGAACACATTTTTGGAAATATTTTCCTCCTCCTTGGAGAAAGGAGCATGAAATTACACTGAATATTTTTTGACTTTTATAGGTGAAATGACATTTACATTTCACTATAGATTATAAGTTCCTTGTAAGGAAAGATAATGAAGAATGGAAAATGCTCAACAAGAGAACAGATATTCAAAATTCAAATGTATTTTATTCGAATATTCTAGAAATTGATAATGAAAGGCATGATAGACATCATAATATATCTAACAATTCAACTTCATCTTGATAAACCTTTTACCTGTCTATTCACAAATTTTCAAACCCCATGTATTTTTCATGTTATATGTTGTCATTTTCACGAAGTTATATTTATGAATTTTTCACAATGTTATACAGTTCTGATTTGCTTTCCTACAATCTCATCTACTGTACTGTAAGTAATTCCAAATCCCCATTTCTTTATATAATATAATAATTGTACATTCCATTTTAGAGAGACTGACGAAGGAATACAAATATTCCGAGAGCTTTCTCAAAAGGAAAAGGAGTTTTCTTTTGAGTCAAATGAAATTAAATATTTATAATGGCAGGTATAAGTAACTACCAAGGTAACTACTGAAGAAAATTAAGAACATTGTAATAATGGTTATAACAATTATATTATACAATAATTCCTGGAACAAATCATAATCATAATTACCCAATTTTCATGTAACCATCATTACCATCAAGGTTTCAACTATGAAGAATGAGCAGATTATATCTCGAATTACTAATATAGATTATGGCTTTCGAGCGAGCTTTCAAGAATAATACCTATTTCGTCGACCTCTACAAAAAATCACATTTCACGTTCTAATTTCCGAGGGAAAAACCGACTATTCCCGAAGTTAAGTACTTTTCGTACTGCAAGGTTGTCAGTTCTACTGAATATTTGAACAAATAGAAAACCTCAAGTTACGGAAAGACTTGAGCAGACTTGCGTTTCTTACTCTCAATGTGTGACTTTACGACAAATTCTCACGTTCCACAAGGATCAATTTTGGCAGCAACATTGTTCCTACTTCATATCAATGATCTGTTGGTAGCAACCACTTGCCCTATCCATACTGCACTCGTTTCCAGAATTCCCATTTTTTCCCAGGAAATGCTGCCAATGAAGATCTTGCGTACAGCATGGGGAACCAACAACCTAGTTGAATTCAACGCGGCGAAAACTCAAGCCTGTATTTCCTCTAGGAAGGCGGAACTCAGTATGCCTGGTATAACAATGTCTGATACCAACATTTCCACCAAGTTAACTATATCTATGCTCGGTGTCTCCATCAGCAATACCCTTTTATGGGATAATCATGACAGATACATCGCGAAAGCTGCTTCACAAAAACTTGAATTCCTATTCCGAAAAAGCTACTTCCACACCTCAACAGCTTCTCATGATTTACAGAGCACAGATACGACCTGTTCTAGAATACTGTTCTCACATATGGGATTCAGCACCCAAACATACTCTGATGCTCTTAGATTCCATCCAGAGAAGAGCCATTCGCCTGGTGACTTATGCCACACTCACTAACATTTTGACATCATTGGAAAATCGTAGAAAGGTTGGCGACCTTTCACTTTTTTATAGATACTCCCACGGGAAATATTCTTCCGAAATCTCTGCTATCATTCCACGAATAGCAATACCAGCCAGACGATCTCAACGAAACCTCAGTCAGCACATTCTTTCGTTGTCAACCTCGTATATTTATCAGTTCTACCAACTCTGACGTCACGTTTTGCCCTCATTGTGTGATCCTCAGAGATGACTTCAACCCAGATATGTCTACCGTCCTTCTATTAGGACACTGCGTAAAAAATTTTCTACTGCGTAATTCGGCTATCTTCGCGATTTTTCTCATGGATGGCACTACTCATATCGAATGATGAACAGTTGTTATAGAATATTATCAACACAACTTATCGGCAATACGTGAATACAAATGGAAATCGAGTATTCTATTCAAGTTGGCTAAGCAGATTGATGTCAATTCGGTTGGGTTAGCAATTATGACTGAAATATTTCGATAATGGATCTTGTGTTGAATTGAATGCATTGTGTGTTTTGAAGCTGCATCTCACAACCTCAAATTTTCAAATGTTCTTTGAGAAGGACATTAGGCATATAAGCAATGTTTCTCGTGGTTTCACTCTCTGCAATCTTTAGAAGATGACAAAACTAATAATGAACA